TTCTATATATATATATATATACTATTCTATTCTATATATATATATATACTATTCTATTCTATATATATATATATACTATTCTATATATATATATATACTATTCTATATATATATATATACTATTCTATATATATATATATACTATTCTATACATATATATATATATATACTATTCTATGCATTACTTTTATATATATATATGTACTATACTATGTATTACTTTCATCTATATATATATATATATATATATATATACTATACTATGTATTACTTTTTAGTTGTTTGCGTTTTTCACAACCGAAGAATGCCGCGTGGCGATGAAGTTCCTGCCTTACTTGTGCTACATTTTCGTCAATGGGCCATGGCGAGGCATGTGGGTCCGCCTCGGGTACGATCCCCGCACGACGCCTGACGCCGCGCCCTACCAGGTACACCCCTTTTGCCGAAAAAACATTCAATTTTTATCTAAAATGTATCGACATTTTATGATCTAAAATATATCGACATTGTAAAACCAGTCGTCGATTGTTTGGATATTCTGTAAATAAACAATATGTGGTTTGATTAACCATGGGGCTGGTATGTAGTTGGTGGAAATCCGAGGTACGCGGCGCCTCGTGAGCGAAACTGTGACACCGTTGGTGCTGTTGCCGAAAACCAAGAAGAAATCACACCGTCGCATGCCGTACCGGTCGCGGCTCAACACGGTGTTCCAGGTCAACGACGTCGAGGACAAGGTGGCGATGCACCTAAAGAAGAAGAAGGCGCACAACCGATCGCTAGCTACCGTCAAGGCAACCACGGGGGACGACGACCGACGCAACGCGGCGCTTGTCATCTACGGCGTGCCCCTGCGAGAAGGCTTCTTTTACGTGCAATTGTGCGACCTCGTCGACCAAAACCCAGCGGTCAAAGCGTTTGTGGCACCGTTTCAAAAGCGGTACATGATATATTGAAAATTCGCTATAAACTTCCAAAATTCTCCTTGTTTGTCGAATCAATATCGAATATACGTGTCATTTCTGCAAGAGCCAATCAAATCCACTCAAAATTGGATTAGCCAATCGCGTCGATGAGTGATTCGAATCCACAATACTAGAAGTAAAGAATATTGAGGGTTGTTGATTAGTATTGATGTTTAAAGTGTCGGGGTCGACTACTGTTGTGGAATTGTATATGTGGGTTGATATGGATGGGTTGCTGATATATATATATATATATATATATATTGGTGTTTTAGTCATATATGTTTAATATTTGTAATTGATATGTAGGTTGCGGTCGTCGGCAAGTGTGTGGGGCGGATGGTTCCCCATGTGCATGTTTCCTCCGATCCGAGAAATGCTCAAGTTGCACATTGTCACCACAGTATATATACATCATATACTATATATATATATATATAAGTAACCAGTGTATATACATATATATATATATATATATACTTGTACAGTAGAAGGCATGTCATTGACGACTTTAGAAACCCGATTGGATTCCAAAGCTATCATAATAATACTATGTTTTGTAGGTTGGTCGGCCGGCTGAAGAAATCAACGTGCGCCAAGCCCAGATTGACCGCGCCGTGCGGAATGCCATGGAGGAACTGGAAGGTCGAGGTGGAGTGGACAGCGAGGAAGACAAACCGTCGACCAAAGACGAAGAGAGCAAGGAGGCAGACGACGATGACGTGGCAGCCGCAGACAACGAGTCTGTCGACGACGAAGAAGAGGATGACGACGCTGCGTCAGACGACGGGGAAGCAGACGACGGGGAAGCAGACGACGACGACGGGCCGTTTATCGAGTCGGTGATGATCTGACAGCGTCACGTCATGAGTTGGATATGTACCACCACTAATAATATTCCTCATACATATATTAGACACACACAATATATATATTATATGTGTGCTCTCCCGTGGTTGGTTTGTGAATGAACCGCCCAACAATCGCCAGACCTGCGAAATCGCATATATAAAGCGAAGTATCGTTGTGACATCATTCAATCTTTTTAGCCAATCATTTTGCAACCTCGATGCTTTTTAGCCAATCACACTTCTTTGTCACCAATTCCCCCAATTTGCCAAATTTGACGGACAACCACAGTAGTATGTCTACTTAGAGCATCCCCACCCCTGACGCTAAACCCAAAACTCGAAAACCAGATCTAAAGTGGGATCACGCAAAATAATTTAGCGTTTTTCATCACATTTCACACGGGTTGCCAAACAGCGATTGAACTCTATTCGCATGGATGCACGACACCAAGCCGCAGAATCGCCTGGATACAAGTAGTTCAGGGCAAAGCATGCCAACAAGTCAGAAGTTCAAGTACACCCACCATATGAACATGGTCATCCACAAGCAAATGACAAATGTTGTACATACATGTATGTACTTCAGGGAACGCTTAGCCGCCTAAGCATCTCTGTTGCACGTCAGTAGTAACGTTATGCCGATTCGTTAACACAAGCTCGTGCCGAGCGAGAATGCATGGACATCGCCATGGAAATTGATGATTAACCATCAACGAGTATGTACGATGCATGGATGGATGTACGTGAACTTGACTACTCGTGTTCGGCCAGCGTCTGCTTGGCCAGGGCTTTCCACATGTTGGCATGGGACACTGGGTACCGCAGCGCGTTGCTGAGGCCGCGGAGAAGCAGCGACACGCGGTACGCCATGATGTAGTCGTCTTCCTGGTGCAAGATCGGGTCTCGTTTCTGCAAGTACTCGACAAAGAGCTGGATGTTCATGCCCTCGGTGATCTCCCAGTCGTCTCTGTCCATCATAGTCCGACCCATCTTCTCGAGCACGTACGGGTCCATGTGTTTGGTGACGAGGCCGACGTCGGTCGTGACGGAGCGCACCACGTCGTCGTTGGTTCCTTCGGCCAGCGCCACCACGAGCCGCGCGAGGCGCTTGCGCTGATCTGTACTCAAGTGTTTCACTTGGCCGTAGTCGATGAGTCCGATGCGGCCGTCATCCAGCAGCATGATGTTGCCGGGATGGGGGTCGCCGTTGAAGCATCCGTTGACAAAGATCTCGTACCCGTGGACTTCCACGATCAGCCGAAGCAACTCGGGAAAGTTGAGCAGCTCACGCGGCTGTTTATGGGTAGAAAAACGAGGATCCAGCGACCGAGGGTATACATACCCCAGCGTGTAGTCGTACATGGTTAAGGCGGCTTGCTTGGCGCGCCATAATGTCTGGTAGAGTCGCATGGTTGATTCTGAAGGACCCATCACTTTGGCGAGGCCCTTGGCTTCGCGTTCGGCGTCCGTCTTGGCCTGCATCGCCGCTAACTCGTCGACTGTCACGCCCAATTCCGATGCCACGATCTCAAAGTGGTCGTAGATCGCATCAATCAACTTGCGACCTTGGAGGTATTCCATCACGAGCACTTCCTTCGTGCACAAGTCTGGATACGACTTGGGCACGACAAACTTGCGGGCGTACGGACTCGCGGCCAAGTTGGCACGGACTAGGTCCAAGTTGTCAGCTTCGCGACGGTAATCAAACTCTGTGAGAAACTGCTTTTCGATCTCGTTTAGAAACGGCAGGTGCGCCGGCTGCGCGACGGCCGCAAACCGCTTGATGGTTGTAATGTCGTTGCGAAAGTTGGCCTCTGCTTCGGGAAACTGCACTTTGACCACCACCGTGGTCCCGTCTAGCAGCACGGCCTTGTGCACTTGGCCGATGGACGCCGCGCCCAACGGCGTCGGATCGATCGATTGAAAGATATCGTGGAACGGCTTGCCATATGACGCTTCGAGGATCTTCATCATCTCTGGCGCGGGCGTTGACGGGGCGTCGCTCTGCAGGGTCTTGCAGTGGTCCATGTACTGCTTGGGCAGGAAATCCCCCCGCGTGGATGCGATTTGGGCCAGTTTGATGTAGAACCCGCGAAGGGTGAGTACCGTGCCGTACAAGGGTGTTGCGTACTTGTCGTGGAGGTAGTTGTACCAGGCGTCAGCTTCGTCTGGCCCGAGGTGGCCGATGTCCTCGACGTACCTTTGCACGGCGCGGTAGTGGACGTACGCTGGCACGGCGTTGACGTAAAAGTACATGGAGCGTGCAAACCCGGGGTCGGTCTGCAAGAGGTAGTAGAAGCTGGCGCCGCCCACGACAGCCACGCTGCCGATGGCCTTAGTCATCATGGACAGAAGAGTCGATGGCTTCTTCAATGGCGACGAGCTTGGCTGAACTGTAGAGGACGTGGATTTGGTGGACGAAGCTCTTGCATGGGTCAGCACTCGACCGCCGCGCCGCAGGTACAGCATGTTGCGCTCCAAAATGGGAAAATGGCTGAGTACTGTACCTTCCTTAGGCGTTTCAAGGAAAAAAGCGCACCGTTTTCTTGATTTTGTTTTAGCGTCAAATAGCGTTACTAGAAATCTAACGGAGCACATGAGTTCGAAGACGCACCAGACACGAAATTCGGTGCTTTTCTCGACACCTGGGTTGGCCATGATTGGTCCATTGAGGCTACAGGCACATCGCATCAAAATCGTGCCATGCCATGGACGTGCTCGCCTTGGAAGCATCTCCATTGGCAAGGAGAATGAGGTGGCCATGTAGATAAACGCGGTGCCGGATGATGGCCAGGCTCTTGGAGCGCTCGTTCGCGTCGGTTTGGTACATGTTTGGCCACTGTGCTTCGCGATGGACCTGCGGTGGAATTCAGAGCTGCCTCGTAGACGAACTAACTCTTGAGATTGCTCACATCCTACAGCGATAGGAACGACCTTGACCATCGGCAAAACACTCAACCAATGGCATACATATATCGGAACGTTGCTTGTTCGGTATATTAGTCTGTTGAACGCTCGTTGCATAGTGCAAGTCGTCCGAGCCTACGTGGCCTCAACAAGGCACTCTTTTCCGTAGATCCCGGTGATCGTGGGCTGAGACGTCGTCGTTGTACATTGCTCCACGTCATCATACCGTCAGAAGGGAACTAATGGCGACTTCGCCATACTTTGCCATCGCGGCTGAATGCCTTTCGATGCATCGACATGGGAAACGATACTGTCGGGGATGGCTACTCGACGGCATTCTCTTGACATGTGCGTGTGTGTGCACAACTTGGCCACGTTTATTGGCAAGTCTTTGGCCTCCAATGGTACTGCTTTAGCCGACACCATCGTCCGTGGTCGTCCTTCACACATTATTCAGTGTCCAAGCAGTGCTAACTTCTCCAAAACAAATCAAAAGTTCATGCTCGCCATCACAATTCGGCCGACCCAAATTATAGGTCATTCGTTGTACTGTACAGTTCCAAGAATGGGAATGGTTGTCAAAAGTTCCTTTTCGATAAGTGCAATAACTAAAAGCGCACGACCTGTCCGGAACGGACGCTGCGAAACATCTACGCCCCTGCAAATATACCATGAACATACCAGAGGACTCGACATTTTGCCGCGGAAGTGGACGCGCTCAAATCCTACCAATTGAACTGCCACCGCACACTGTCCACGCCACTACGACGACGGGTTCAAGATATGACCCGCAAGGGTACTTGCATGCTCTCGGGTAGATGTTACAGCGTCATAGAGATTTATGACAACCTCTTCAAAATATATGTTTCATGGGTTGAACCGTCGTCGGTTCAGATTGAACCTGTGTGGTCGGACAAGCAATGCCCAAATGACCATATATTGACTGGAAAATATCTATGTAAACGCCCCCCCCCGCGACTCCACGCCCGTGGTCTTGCGCGAACCCCGACTCTTTACGTATACCAAGCGTCGATATATCTCATGAATTGGCTGCGGGGGTAAACGACCAATAGCACCGACGATTGAGTGGAGTTGGACACCATGACAGGAAACCTGTGGTGGGATGCTAACGTTGATACTGTATGCTCGATGGAATTGGCTGAACGCGAGACGAAAACGCCCCAGTTAGCGAGCCCGAAGCGTTCGTCGACGCTCAAAATCTCAACCAAACCTGCAAATCCAAAGTATGGAGGCGGCGCTTCTGAACCTTATGGCGACCCTTGTTTGACTACATCAACTGGTGCAAACATCGCTCACCCAGTCAGTTCATGTCGTCAGCAGCCACAAGAGGTTGATAGTGGTTTGAATCTCTCTCACTTAGTAATGTAGTACAAACGTTCACATGTCGTACTAGTATTCTGACATCACCAATCTGCATCCATACTGTACTACTCGTACAATAATACACATATTGCTACTTCGAAGTACACGTTTCTACAAATAGAGATAATTTCAAAACTAAAAAAGTGCGATACTTCTCGATTTATGCGTGTCATCCTTGCGCAGGGGCCATGCTAATCTTCTCTGTATCGTTCCAATTTTTACGGATGACCCCCGAAGGGGTTCCTATTGTTCACAAAATGTTAGTCCTACCGCTCAAGTCAATTGGTCCCGAGTTCAATCCCGGCAATGCCCATGTTTTTGATCACTTTGACGGTTGGAAGGACATTATCCGGACGATTGTGCGATGGAGTGTTCGGATTGGCTAACGTTAACAATAAAATCAAGGGATTGTGTCCCACACTTCAATCTGTCGTTGACGTACTTCAGCTAACTATTATGGCCAACGCATGCCACCAAGGACATGTGGACGTTGTGAAGCTGTTGGTTCAGCATTTTGGGCTACCAGTCGTCCACTTCCCCGACGTAATCAACGAAGCTATAGAAAATGACCAGTTGAGTGTTGCAGAAATGTTGCATCGCATGGGTGGAGCATGTGCCCCTTCGGACATAGCGCTGGAGGCCGCGGAATCCAAGGGATGCTGTGACGTGGTCAGCTATGTGCATGAGAATTGCAACATGGTGTGGACGACCTCTGTCATGGACAATGCAGCGATACATGGCCATTGGGATCTGGTGCGCTTTCTGCGTGACCATCGCATCGAAGATAGTTGTACGACTGAAGCGATTGACATGGCGGCGCCAATGGACATTTGGAAATCGTGCAATGCTTACACTCGACTCGGACCGAAGGATACACCGCCGCTGCGATATTCATGGCAGCGAACAATTGTCATTTGGAAGTCGTGCGGTATTTTTTATATGGGCATCTAAGAGTCGAAGCTCACGAAGTATGCCCTTGGCGCGGTTGCACAGCATAATGGGCACTTTGAAATGGTCCAATTCCTTCATGATCGATGCGACAACGCGTCAACTGTTCCTAGCGATCACGCAGCCGACAAAGGTCATTTGGTATTTGTTCAGTTTTTGCACTATTATTCGCGCATGGACGGCTGTATGACCCGCGCGATGGACGTCGCGGCCATGCATGGGCATTTGAAAGTGGTGCAATTTCTGCACCACCATCGGGACGAAAGCTGTACGACCCGAGCCTTGGACAATGCCGCCAGTCATGACCATTGAGAAGTCCTGCGTTTTTTACATCACCGGCATACCGAAGGTTGCACTGTCGGTGCGATGGACAAGGCAGTCAGCCGCACAAGGCCAACTAGAAGTTATTCATTTCTTGCACGGCCTTCGACTCGAAGGGTGTACGACCATGCGCTCGACGATGCGGCCAGTCGAGGCAATTTGGACATGGTTCGATTTCTGCACGGCCATCGAACCGAAGGATGGACGACCCAAGCGATGGATGCCATGGCGGCAAGGGGTGGACATTTGGAAATCGTGCGATTTCTATGCGAAACTCCACCCGACGAAAGTGGTTCGCTCAAGGCGTTGTACATCGCGGCTCGACACTGCCATATGCGTGCTTTTTGTACGATGTCCGACCTCTCAACTGCCCCTTGAGCGTGGAAACGATGGATGCCGTGGCTGGAAATGGCCATTTGGAGATGCTGGGGTGCTGCATCTGGAAAGACAAGCCACGTGCTCTTGTGTCGGACTGATCAACGCAGCCGGAGTAGGGTTCTTTAATGTGGTCGAGTTTTTTATTGTCATATCAAACGGATCGAGAGTTTCTGCCATTTGCCATCGCCAAGGCCGAGGCAAACGGTCATGTTGACGTTGTCGGGTTGTTACAAGTCACTTGCCAAGAAAGTTACTGACGCTATATATTAATATTCATATATACTTACACTGTATATATATTCTGATTGCGATGCATGTCGTAGAAGGATTTTGTTGCTCGCGACACGATATAATCCCCGTGTTGTTCCACCAAAATAATAACAACATGACGGCATACTGGTTTGATGTTTGCACGTCCAAGCCCCCCGACACCCACGCCAACTGAAATCACCTCCCTGAGGTTCCAGTACATATCACTCGCGTATGTAAAGTTCGAGGTGATCAATCGGAAGTGCGTTTTCACAGCCTTTGTCCTTCAAAACAGACAACCAAGATGGAGATTTTGGGGCTGAAAAGAAGTATGCAAAAGCAAGTGGTAAGTCCAACAAATCGCCCTGCCAAACAGTCGAGTAGTTTGTCGTTTCATTGTGACCACAGGAAACATGCACTCGTTGTACATAGTATTCAACGTTCAATCTATATAAATTCTTGTGTCCATCGCCTATTTTGAATGTGCATGCAGAAACGGATTCACGTCCTTTTCGCCGTCCAGGTTGGCAAACGTGTGGTTGACATCGCGATGGTTAGCTTCGTCGGCGCGGACACACTTGATCATGTCCAACACGGTAGCATCTTCGGCCAGGTGGTAGTACTTGCGACCGATGGCCGGCGCCACCTCCGTCTTCCACGAGCCCACGTGGCCGGCTTCAATGTCTTCGATCATGGCCGTGTACGTGTGCACGGCCTCCTCCTCCAAGTACCCGACGAAGCGATGGCACGTTTTGGGCGAAATCAAGTACGTGAGGAAGAACATGTTGAAGAACACGCCCTGGCCGCCCACGACGAACAGCCGGAACAGTGGCCCCGGCGCCTTCATCGTCATGAAGATGAGCAAATGCATGCGCTCGTTCTCCGCCTCTTCCAGCAGCGTATGGATCCACCCTTGGTCGCGCTGCATAGTGCGCAGCGACCGCAGGTGCCGAGACATACCAGCCACCATGCCGGGGACTCCCGCCACGGTTTCTAGGAACAGGCACCGGTTCAACCAGTCAGTGGACGTCATGCCCCCGCCGGGTCCCTTGTAGCGCGACACGAGGTCGAAACCCCCGCGCAAGACACGCACCGCGAACAGCGCCACCTTGGCATGTGTTTCCTTGGGATCGCGGTGGGTTTCCTCGATGGAGTTGACGTCATCGGCCGTGTAAATGGCATGGGGGATCGGATTCTCCCACTCGGTTGGGGGTGAAGGAGCTTTGGCTTGTTGCGTGAAGTGGGCATCCGACTTGGGGTACGTCTTGAAGTGGCCGAGGTCCCCGGCCGCGTGAAGGGTCCTCGTGACGTGAAGGTGTCGAAGGGTGACCGAGATGGGGGCAATAGCGGGACGTCTGACGCGTAGCGTGAGGCAGCGACGGGCACTGAGCATGTTGAGTCGAAGTTGGCAAGTTGGAAAATGGCAGTCGTTGATACTTGGAAGTATTGTTTATTTTTAGTATTCATTCGGATGACGATGTGGCGATCGAGCGGTTTCACTTGCGATTTGGTCACATGTGACGGTTGGCCATATCCGGATAACGCCCCACTTCAACATGCCGCATCATTGATGTGAATGAAGAACCAACCTTGCATGTTCAACTTGAATGTCGATTGCATTTCCGACGATATGTGACACGCGGAGATTCCAACTGCGACAACGTCTGAATATGGTGTTGCTCCATGACCGTAATCCACAATCACCTCGTGTGTCCACATCCTGATTGTGCAAATGCGACCAGCCCTGACCAGCATCCCACACGGAGCAATTCTATAAAGTCCCACTACAGTGATGTTTACTGTAACGTCGCCAATTTGTGTCACGTAACCCTGAGCAGGCGACAGACACTTGATTACAACTGTACTCGTATTGTACTGAAGTACTGCTAGTACTGTACTAGTACCGTACTAGCAGTACATACTTCACAGTGGTCGATGGCACCGAGGGGACCAGTGGTTAGGTTAACGGCAAATATAGGTTTTGAGAGGATGTGTCGACGAGGATTAGCAACAACTAATTATGCATGCTGAAACATATGTTATGCATATCCAATGAAGGTTATTTTAATTGAGCTGAGTTCTATATACATACAAAATTTCAGTAAAAAATTCAATTTGCAGATTACTAAACACACATTTGTCCCCTCGGTGCCGTCACCCACTGTCAGTCAATGCACTTATGACACTTTTACTACTACTGTACTTGGTAGACGACTTGCGTTACTAGTCGTGTTTATGCGCTGACAAGGCAATGTTGACTCCCGCCGCCTTTCGAATGTACCAGATCGAGGTAAAGTACGAGGCTATGGGGAACGCCGCGGCCACCGCAATCCACGTCCAATAGACCCAGTCCAGATCCTTGAGCCACGACACAACGTTCATCGTAAATGCGTTCACGAAAAAGTTGGACACGGCCACGAGGGTCGTCACGAGCGTCATGAGCAGGTCCACAATGATCAGGTAGTTGCGCTTGGCATCCAATTTGAGCATCACGATGGCCTCCGTGTTCTGAATCGTGTGCAGCATCAACTCGACCGCCGCGCCCGTGCCATAGTTATTCTACTCTTTCCATTGGTTTCAATTGCATGTAATGAATAGGATCATATAACACCACCCAGGTCACAAATACAACACCTAGATATATATATAACACCAGTTACAAACCAGTTATATAACTCTTCGTTACCAAGTTACAACCCAGTTATATAACAATTCTTTAATAGTTACAACCCCGTTCTATAACAGTTCTTTAACAGTTACAACCCAGTTCTATAACAGTTCTTTAACAGTTACAACCCAGTTATATAACAGTTCTTTAACAGTTATACAACAGGTATATGGAAATAACACCAGGGTACTGTATAGAGCCACACCATGGTATTCTATAGCACAGGCGCAGAAAACGCTATATATATACTATGGACCTAAACAATATACCATTGTACCTGCAAGTACGACTCGAGGAGTGACTCGACTTCTTCCGTGTCAAAGCCAAACAAATCCAGCGCCACCGACGGCTCTTCGTACAGCTATTCCAAATAACCCGAGGTCGGATTATAACAGACCGTTTATTATAATTCGGTCGTGGCCTCTTTCTTACCTTGGTCAGATGCAGCATGTGCAGCTCCTCGTCGTCGTCAAGCATGTCAATGAGCATGCGTCGGACGCCGTTCACTTGCGACTCCAAGTCACTTGTGGCATTCTTGATCATGCGCAGGTTGTCCAGTACACTCATATTGCCCTCGTCTGATGCCATCAGGTTCAACTGGTCGCGGCCCAGCACCGCTAGCTTGTACTGCTCGTCCGCCAAGAGCTGGCACTTTGTGGCGACGATGGCTTCCAACGCCCTTTAAACATGGCCACGATACATGTCTTCAGATTATATATATATATAGATCGTACGAGAATTCAAAGCCAACGCAAGCATGTGCATCGTCGCCAAGGTGCTGGTGAAAGCTGGCTTGCAGACGTTGTACCAACGTAGTTGAGGTCACTAAACCGCGGGAGATAAACACCAAGCACGAATCACGAAAGATCACGGCGCGGATGGGATCTACGTCGAGTATATCAATGAAACAAATATATTTTGAAATAATATGATTCCATTTATTATTATATTCTATTTGAAAGGACATGAGATGGTCGTACAAGCCAGGGAATCCTTATAAACATACCACAATTGATGAGAATCACTTGCTGGCGCACGGTGATCATGGGCTCATTCGACACGGACAGCGCCGTTTCCAGCGTCCGAATGTCGCGCATATGCATGGGCTACACAGCTCCATCATGCCTTTTGAGCGATACTGTCGCACACTAATTACCGGAATGTCCACGGGGGTATGATAGTACTCGTCAGACTGCGTCGGGTCTGCATACCCTTGAACATCCTACACTGTGTCCTTGAATAGATGTTGTACATACACTCTTCACTTCCCATTCAAAAAAGCACAAACCCACTCCATGAATCGATAAAACCTTCCAAAATCCATTTATTCCGGATAATAGTGTCAAGGCGAAATTGGAGATGCGCAGCACTGGAAATCGGCAGACAATCGATCGACCAATCAAAACCCACAACACTATCAAGGGGCCAATCAAACTAACACTCGTTCGACCAATTTAACACATAATTAGTGTATGACTGAAATTAGTGTGATATGACACAAAACAACGAATCGATAGATTTGGCGAATCATGAGCCCAAAAGTCCAAATCATGGATACAAAAGCACAATACCAAAATCCAGTTACAATCGTACCGCAGCTGCACATTGCACCATGTTGAAGATGGCACTTCGGGTCACAAATGTAGTCGTGTAGTTGCCCGTGGTGTCGAAATGCAAGGCTGGTCGCCGTCCATCGTCGTCGTCGTCGTCGGTAGCAGCAGCAGAAGAAGACGACAATGTTGACATCGTCGATGCCGCCGCGATGGCCGCGGCCACGGATGGCACCTCCACTGGCGCCGCAAACGTCAGTCGAATCCCCTGCCTTCGCAAGTGCACCACGGCCACCAACACAAACACCACACAGAGCCCAGCCAGCCCACCGAAAAAGCTCCAAAAGAACATGCCGCCATCATCCAAGGTTGAGAAGGGCGATGCGACGTTCATAGCCATCGCCGCCGTCCAGAACGACGCCACCCACAGCGCCAGATACACGAGCTTGAGCGGAATGTCCACGAGAAGCAATTGATTTCGCTTGGATGTCCATTTCAAGTCGAGCGAGCTCTCCGTGTTGTCGGCCTTGGTGAGCTGCAGCTGGATCGTACACAGGGTCGAAAATGTCTTCTGGACGTACACTTCGACCAATGACGCGGCTTCGTCAGGGTCAAAGGTACTGCTGATGTAGCTGTCGACATTTTGGTTGCCGTGGAGCTAAAGAATCAAAACAACGTGATGTCATATATATACATATATATATATTGTCAAATCGATTCGAAACTGGAGCCCTCAGCATTAAAAAAAGACCCTCCTAAGCCAATCAAATCACGTTCTGGTAATTTACAGCCAATCCAAACGTTTGACTCTGTGCGGCAAAACCATATATATATACTAATCTTTGTATAGGATAGTGTGTACAAGCCTAAAATCGAATCAAATGGATTCGAATGCTATTTGGCGAAATGACTCCCAAGTCCAAATTTAGGTGAAATGCACAATATATATATATATATATATATATATATATATATATATATATATATACATTGTCGGATCCAACACGTTAGATACGGTACTCGTAATACTAGTTGTCTTGTCCATAGGAAGATAGTGCATCGCATAAAGTATCGAAAAGGATTCGAAGTCTATTTTTAACCAATCCAAAGGGTCCAAATATATATTCCAGGCCAAACTGAAAAATGAAATCCCACATATGTGACAGAGTGGTGGTGGTACCTTGGTCAAGTACAGTCGGTGGAGGTCGTCGTCGTCGTCGAGAAGCGCCGCCAAGAGCGAGTGAATCCCTTGGACTTGGGCTTGGAGTTCATGAAACCGGCGCTGGACGAGACGCAGCCGCTCGAATTCGTCGCGCGGCCGTTCCACACTGGCTATCGACTGCAACACTAGCATCGCTTCCGGCTGCATGTACGTCACTTGATTCGCGTACCACGTCGCAACGGTCGACAGAACCGACTCGAGCGCTCTAGAGGTCGAATGTAAGCATGGAATGCAAGCAACATGCGACAGTGTACGTGAATTCAAACGGAGCGTCGGGGGATTCCGCCATGTTGGCGACGAACGTAGCTTGGAGATGGGTCGCCACGTCCAACGGCATGCCAGGAAACACGATGCACCGGTGACGTAAGATCACGGCGCGGATGGGGTCTATTTGAGGATGAAGCAAGCGAGAACGACGACTTGGTACATACCAATGTTGACCAGGATCGCTTGGTGGCGTACCAGGATGGTAGGGCGATCAGAGATCGAGTACGCGCTGTCGAGCTGACGGATGTCGCGCATGTGGACGCCCTGCGATATTGTCCATAAGCACGTGCATGACATATCCTGGCAATGAATGGAAGTACTGGAATGGAGACATCGCCGCCCGAAGACGAGGAAGCCGCGTCTTGGATCTCACGGAACACGTCTTCACGCGAGACGTGTCGTCGAAAGCACTGTCCGTGCATGTCGAATTGCCACGCCATGTCGCGTCCGCCAGTGTGCACCACTGCCTTGATGCCACCCACCGCTGCCGGCACCGTTCCATCTACGACGACGATCTCCGGTCCCAGGAGGTGTTCACGCAAGGATCCATTCATCGCACTGGCCATGACGTTCGTTGTCTTGCTTGCATGGAATACAATTGCGTTCTTTAACCTGAATCGGGTAAATACGTTAAATACAAAATATATAAAACGCGAAATACCTATCCAATGTGGACAGATCGCGGACCAGACGTTCTGTAGGCAAAAGTTAATGCACTACTACTAACGTTATTCTAACAAAGACTTCGGTAGCCCAGTGTACTGTTAACAGTACTAGTATTTATTGCAGCACAGTGCTATAGTATCGGGATTGAGTCCACCCCCAATCCAACTTGCCTGGTAGAGAGAGTTGCTGTATCACATGTCAGTTGACAGGTGTGACCTTTCTGGATAAAACCCGAATTAAACGCAATGCGGACTTTAGTATAAAAACGCATCTGTGGACGTGACACATGCAGACACATTTTGATCGCTCGCTCATGCGAAATGGCAACCGGTGGATTGGGCAGTGGCGGGGCGACGACGCATGTTGAGAGCCTCATGCACAACGACATGCTTGTGAGCAAAGATGGAGAGATCCTCGGCATGACCTCAGTGGCCGCAGGAGGGAAACGATTGGTACCGTCAGGATTGCTGGTTTGATGTGGTCATACGCTTGGTAGGCGTTGCGGTTCGACTCCGCCGGCAACTCTGACTTCCACGACGTGTCGCGTCAAGAAGTTTTGACAATGATTCAAACATGCGCGGACAGCATGGCGATTCCGGTACACGTATATGCCATCGTCTCCATGTCCGTTCTCAACTTCTTTGCATCAGGCGAACAAGCTCGGTCGCCGTCAGTCCACCTCCGTCGACGCTGGAAACAGCCGCGCGTACCATCGCTCCCGTACGCGCCTCGCACGAGACGGCCCCATCGATATTCCGGTCCTTCTTGCATGTTGAATCGTTCCCTCAACCTCAATATACAGGCGGTGCACATGCGCGACCTTCGTAAACTGGACAACATGTTCTCCACATCCAACGAACCGTCCATCACGGTTCGACAGCAAGCCATCCTCGTCAACTGCGGTTCGAAGTGACCCCTCCTTGTACATGTTCTTCTTGATCTCATAGAGCCTTGTAGACCCCGTCCGTGCCGTGATCACGCGCGACTGCTGCCTCGTATTCCTCCCCGACGGGGCCGACAGTTTGGTGTATCACTTGAAGACCAACATGCAGCAGCACCTGGCCGAAGCGACAGCATTTGAATTTGCGTACGAAATATATAACATATTATCTCATTTGCAACTTTTCAGAAATATTAATGACAAGTTTTCAACCACAGCTTTTGTGTGGTAGGCACAACAATCTGACATGTATATATAAATGGACAGAATACATCGATCTTTTTTACTGTTTTCTGACGGCATAAAGATCAACTGCAAGGGTTCAAGTTTTACCTTTTTACCTATTACTACTACACATGATATTTATTATTTTATATATATTTTTATTCTGTTCAAATATATTTTTTAAATTTTATATCCAAATATTAGGTATACTTTTTCTCGTTCCATGATGGCATCCAGAGGTCCTATCAACGTATTTGTCAAATATTTTCCCACCTTTACTTGAAACGGGATGATTTTCTGTCAGAATAATATAGTATATGACATATTGTGCTTTCGAGTGAAATTCTCGTTGGAATTTAAATCGATTTGATTGGCTACTTCAGATGAGCTCAACATTATTAGCCAATCAAAACCTTCTTAATGAAATTGAACCAATCCGATCGATTGTGGATCGGTTTGATCGGCGCGATTCGATTGCACCCCGTCCCCAAATTTGTATCAATCGACCTGTTTGGCAACACAACTAGCGCCGTGGAGGCCATTCTAGCGACGATTTGCCGGTTGTTTTCCGCTGAATGCGACCGCATCGTGCCCAAGGGTCGACTAGCCCTGGACAAAATGACCAAAGATGACTCGATGCTGAGCGAACTCGAAAACTTGCGGTCGATCAAGAATGAAATGAGCGCGCTCGAGTCGCGGGTCGGCGGCATGCGGCGCCTCCTCATGGCGTTCCTCGAAAACGAAGAGGACTTGCACATGATGTACTTGACCAAGGTAGATGATATATATGGCACAACGAACGACAATCGACTGGATATGCTGATATGATGGTAGCTGTATCATGAGCCAGCGTTGGTGCACGATCTGTTTAGCTTTGACACGGAAGACGCGGAATCGTTTCTGGAAGTGTACCTCCAGGTTTGTTATGCAAGTGTGACAGTGTTGTGCGATGGGGTTTGTGTAGCCGTTGTATTTGATATATATAGTATATATGTACTATGTAGTATATAATACTATGGTGCCCAAGATGGAATATATTTATATATATATATGTATAGTATATCTCCTCTATGGAGCATCAATGGCTCAAGGTGAAATCTCTTTTATATTTAGATATGCTCATTGGAATATATATAAATATATATATATTAATTTACCATTGGGCCCAAGATGGAATATATATATATATATTTTATACATCCACTATGGGATTGTGGTGAGTCTCAAAGGGTCAAGGTGAAATCCCTTTTTGTATTTTTTACATGTATACACATATATATCTGCTCATTGGAATATAAATATTTGGTTTCGACAGGAAATCTACGGCACGCAAACGCGTGTAGCGCTTATGGCCAACAACATCCTCAATACCGAGAGCATTGTGATGCTCAAACTCGACTCAAAGCGGAACTTTTTGTTGAGTGTCGACTTGAGTCTGACGCTGATGGGCACGGTGCTGGCGCTGCCGACGTTCATCGTGGGAGGGTTTGGAATGAACCTCAACTCAACGGTGCAAGAGACGGCGTACTTGTTCTGGATCATCTTTGGGCTGTGCATTGCCCTCATCGTCGTCGGGTTCGTCTATGCCCAGCAATACCTCAAGAAACAAGGGATCAACATGTCATGGAAGTATTAAATCAATGACGAAACTTTGTATAACCTTGAAAAGGTACTAATATTTGTTCCAATTATAATTTTATTTCTATAATGTACTGTTACGTTGCTGAATATATATGTCTAATATATTAATATATATTAATATATATATATGTATATTCCAATCAATGCACTCGTAAAAAAAGCCTTTGCATAGGATGTTACTGTACGCACTGTATTCATAGTAATAACGTTAAGGGTATTGTCGTCTTGTATCGACACTGAGTATCCACACATTAACGTAAAAGTCCAATTTAAGGTGCCATTTTAAGGTGCACGCGAAATATCGTATAAGGGCAATTTTTAAAAATATGCAAATAGGTATACAAATACTAAGCTTAAAATGGTGAACCTAAAATTGGACCGCTTGATTTCAGCTGTTTGTGGACAAAGTGGTGTGAATGATAATGAGTTATAACAGAGAACATGTCTCATTCATAACTCCCGAATAGGCCTGGATTTTGGCTTCACGTAACATATTCCAGAATTATAATATGATACCTACGAGTCGTGTTACATGCCTTCCACGGCAGCATCTCGGAAAAAGTGTTATGAAATTGGACTTTTACGTTAATGTCGTCAATGTATTATTAGCAAAAAGGTGTCGCGTCGTCCATTTAGCAATGGCGACGGACCATTATTCGGTGTTAGAAAAGGGGAAATCTGGAGGGTGGTTAGAAAAGCTGTGACACGGCGATCTGGCGGCTATGACGTTCGAGGGCTTTGGCCAATTCCGCGTGCGTACGCTCCGTGAAGAGCATGGGCGACGGGCTGCCTACATAGTCCGAGTCGTCGTGGTGGTATCGCCGGTCGCAGTTGGGGCCACTGTCATAGTGGTAGCCCCGGCACCCCTCGGGCGAGCTCGTACATTGGCTGCCAAACGAGCACGGTTTGGTTTTAAAGTTAGGGTTGTACCAGCAGGCTTCGGCGAGGGAATGTGATTTGACGCACTTGGGCCGCTTACAGCGCGGCCCGAGTTTGCACATGTCCTTCTTCTCATCGATCCAGGGCACAGCCACGTTGAACTGCACGTGCACATTGACGCAATCCGACGGTTCGATGGCGTCCTTGGCCCAGAAATGATCGTGTTTGCCACACACAAACAGCTTAAAGAGGGGGTTGTAGCGCATCGTGTCGACAAACGTGTGCGACTTGGCACAGTCCGACCGCGGGCACGGCTTGGACGCGCACAGGTTTGCTTCAGACACCATCCGCATGTGCTTGAGCATGCGTTCAAACATAACCTTTTGGGTCCCGGGCCACGCCGGCAGCGACTCGGGGCGGACATGAATCAACGAGTACTGGAGGCGCGGGGGCGGGGCTCGCGGCGTGTGCCACTCCGACGGCGACGAAGGTTTGTCTGGCATCGCCGGAGGAGGACTAGGCGGCGGCGGTGGCCGATGGGCTGACGGCGGCGCGGTAGTCTCGTGTGCGGCGGGACGGACGACCGACTTTTTTACGCTGGTATACACTGGCGGCATTGGGAGCGCGGCTAAGCCCGGCGGCGGTGGTCGAAGGACAAGGGAATCCGTGCTCCCTACCCCCACTTCGTCGGCAATGAATGGCAGTGTGCGTGCAAGCGCTGTGACGCTGACGCAGATCTCCATCTGATCTTCGCTCGTCAACTCCCCTGTCACATGCGAACGCTCGTTGCCGACGTTCTTGATGCCGTAGCACCCCCATATGAGCCGCTGGCGCGCAGTCTGAGAGGACCGATCCACGCTGTTCGAACTCGGCTCGAGAAACGCCTGGAGCTTGGCGATGCGCTGGCCGAGTGACTCCCCCTGTGTTTCCAACTGGAACGCTTCCATGTACGTCCGCAACAAACGTTCGAACGCAGAACGACAGTCGTTGCCGCGCTTATCCACCACGGAGCGTTGCATGTCGTTCAGCGCCAGCTCCGCTATCGCGCGGAGGCCTTGCGACATCCATCCGCACAGCCCCGCGCGCAACGCAAATGCTCGACTAATCACCTGCGAATCCAAACTTGGCTGCGCCACCACGACGTGCGCGGCCATGTCCGCTAGCACCGCGCGCTGACGGGCCACCACGTTGGTGACAATGTCCGCTTTCATTTGAACCTGGTTCGACTGCAGCGTCCAAATCACGGCATGCAGGAGCTTCGATGGGTCCGCCATGTGCTGCATGGCAGTGGTCATGATCGAAGTAAACATGGTCGTCTGCGTGCTTGAAAGTTCGCCCTCCAACGACGTGCGCAGAGCCGTCACACAACGTTCCACTGCGATATCCTCCGACGCCATGATTGAGGTCGCTTACTTCGTAGAGGTGGGTTTCAAAATTCCGAACGCCAGTTGTATGGTCATTTCATGGCCATGTCGGAAAATGATACGTATCCGGACAAATACTCTTCCGTTTTAACGTCTCTTCTATTTCAATTCGACGTTACGGATGCCTAGACAGTACAATCTTTAGCACGCATACTTAATATATTGTGAATATTCGCAATAAACTCCCAAAATTCGCGTGGTTTGCCTAATCAATATTGAATCAACGCTGAAGTTCTGATTGGTTGAATATGCTTGTCCTTAAGTATAATGTTATGTCACTGTCGCGCGCATGCACACGCCGTTTGACTTTGTGGATGTGGCAGGTTCGGTTCCTGGTTGACTCGCATGTAACAAGTTGCATGCATCCCTCGACAATGGTACGCTATGATTTGAATACTTCATACTAGTACTAGTAGTGCGGTAATGTGTTTGTGTCATGTTCCCACTTCTCCCCGGAGGGTTTGAGGCTGTTTCACGCGAAAATAGAACTGTCGGTAACGGTAACGACGTAGTGTTATATTAATAGTAAGAGAGCATCTCCATTACGGTGTTATATATTTGATAATTAGTGCTCTTTCGTTTTGCGCGATAACGTTACTATTAATAAATTTGATCGTTTTACTGTCGACGGTAAATGCCGACGCATCCGATATAAATGCCGGCAAAACTCTACGGTTAACTACCAGGGTGCTTTAGCACAATATTGAAATGTCCTTGTTTGAATGTCGCATCCTTTTCAGAGTAATTTCACCAGATGCCATACCATTGGACCAAATTGGTCAATTTCTAGCCAATCAAATGTATAATATTCGTAGCCAATGATACTTGCACCGGTCCAATATCTCGCGCGCGACAAGAAGCATTCGATTGAGGTCATCATGAGCCATGTGATGTGGACGTACGATGCAGAGAACGTGGCGACGAAGAACGGCAAGGTGAAGCGGATTGTCCGAGAGCGGTATCTCCGCGACGACATCGCATGCGGTATCACTGCGTGCTCGCTCTGCTGCCACGACGACGACGACAGCCTCGAGGAACAACCGCATCGCCATGGCAACGATTTGAATCTGTCACCCCAAGCAGCCCAGTACCTCCTTCTGACGGTCGACGTGGTCCTCCGACAGATGGACGTGCTAGAATACTCGTCGTGCACAGAACTGAGCAACATCATCATCTTGGAGACTGTGGCGGAACAAGTCAAGCGCAAGGACATGAGCATCTACCGCCGGTTGCACGCGTTGATCAAGTCGGATCGTCATTTCTACGTGTTCGCCAACGAGCATCACCGAGACACATACGTTGCCAAAACCGAGACGGAATCCGCCGTCGAGCGCGACGTCCGTGCCACTTGCGGTGCCTTTCAATGGTACCCTTCATCACGTTGTCTTGATTCTTTGCTTACCTGCATGTCCAGGTACACGTCGCATCTGACGACCCTTGGAAGCAAGACCGCCGTCACGTACATCGCCAACGACACCGTGGACGCCGAGCGAGCGGCCGCGAATGGGGTACAAGCGACGACGATTTCGTCCTTCGTCGCTCCTCTAGTCAAGGCGTACCCCGATCTGGCGGACCTCATGTCGAACGCGTCGACCGCGCCAGTCTCCGAAGGACCTGCCAAGAAGACGACGCTGTACGCCGAGCACAAGAGCATGTCGGAAGTGCTCGCGGGTATCAAGAACAAGCGCTTCTTCCAAGGCACCCTCCGCTGCAACCGCGATCACTGGTATCATACCATCCATCCATCCATCCATCCAGTCTGATATATGTATCGGTTGTTCGTAGGCTCGAATGTACGGTGCTGATCCACGGACTCAACGACGCCCGGGTCCCCGTGTTGATTTCAGGGTGCGTGTGAAAACTCACTCTGTCGCAGTTTTTGGTCATCACGACGACAATGATCATGATCATACTCGTCGTGTTAGCCGCGAATTTATCAACCGAGCGATGGATGGCGATGTTGTGGCCATTGAAATCCTGCCCAAAGCGCAGTGGAGGCGGCCGGCCGACGCGTTTGCCGTCAACAACGACAAGGACGACATGGAAGACTCGGCCCGTACCACAGAACCGCAACATGTCCGTAGTCCTACTCCTTTAACGTCGTGGGCTCGGATGTGTTGTCGAAATCAAGATATATATTGTGGTCTTTCGAGTGACATTTCATTGTGGCGTGGGGTTTCTCGTTGGAATTTAAATCGATTTGATTGGCTACCTCAGATGAGCTCAAAATGATTAGCCAATCAAAACCCATTTCTCAATGAAATTCAACCAATCAGATCGATTGTGGATCGGTCGGCGCGATTCCCCAAATTTGTATCAAATCGACAATATATTGTCTGTCTTTTACCCAATATTTGGTGACTTTTGTGCGGATTCTTTGCCAAATCGATCGATCGATTGTTTGACTTTTGCATGAAAAGGTTGTCCAGTATCACACTAATTTCGATCACACACTAATTCGGTGTTCCATTGGTTGTGAAGAGTGGATGATTTGATTGGCTAGTTGATGAGTGTTGTGGGTTTTCATTGGTCGTATATCGATTGTATATCTGCCGATTTGGTGATTCTGCTCATTCGATTGAGCACCACCCAAACACTCGAATTTCGAATCGACTTGACAATATATATATATATATATTTGTATCATGCACTGGTGGTGGTGGCGTCCACTATACAGTCTCATAACGTTTCCATGGATTAGATTGGCGTGGCAGCGCCGACATTGTCGGGCGACGTGGCCGACGTGTCCGACTTGAAACCATGTGGCAAAGTAGTGGGCATCGTCCAGCGCAACTGGCGGCGGTACTGCGGGTCCATCGAGCCCGTGGCCGCCCAGACGACAGCGACGACCAACGTGCTGTTTGTACCCGTGGATCGCAAAATCCCCAAGATTCGAATGATCACAAGACAGCACGACACACTTCTAGACAAGCGCATCGTGGTGGCCATCGATTCGTGGCCAGTAGACAGTCGGTTCCCCCTTGGACATTACGTCAAGACGCTGGGCGTAATCGGCGACAAGGAGACGGAGACCCAAGTGCTTCTGCTGGAGCACGACATTCCGTGCCAACAGTTCTCGGATAAAGTGCTCAAGTGCTTGCCGCCCGCGGACTGGACCATCACGCCAGAAAACTCGAAAGGCCGCACCGACTTGCGCCATTTGCCCGTGTGCAGCATCGATCCGCCCAACTGCAAGGGTATATATATGCATGTGATAGATACATTCTTGCATGGGTATTGGATGACACTGGTGGTTTGACGATGTATATATATATATGGATGGATGGATGGTTGCTTGTGTGAATCGTTCCCATTGGCCAATCTGAAATTACTCTTCTCTGATTGGCTGCCTTGTTTTTTCGGTTTTGACTTGCGGAAAGCCCATCAAACCTCGCGGCGAGATTTATGATCGGTTGTACGAATCGCGCAGAATATGGGAAATATACTGTACAAATATTGTGCTTTCGAGTGAAATTTCGTGTTGTGGTGTGGTTTCTCGTTGGAATTTAAATCGATTTGATTGGCTACTTCAGAAGAACTCAAAATTATTAGCCAATCAAAACCTTCTAAATGAAATTCAACCAATCAGATCGATTGTGGATCGGTTTGGTCGGCGCGATTCGATTGCACCCCCTCCCCAAATTTGTATCAAATCGACAATATATATATATATTATAATATGAACACGAGAGGCCGTACATACAACTCTATATGGATACTCCTCTAGTGCTGCCTATGCTTGAGACTGTTGTAAAAGTGCCTGGTGGAAGTAACACCGCCATCTACTGTACTACGTGGATGTCAGATAATGTTGTTTGGCCTGTATATTTTCTGTCAGACTCGAGGGGTCTCTTGTGGCAAGAGAAACACATATATATATTTTTCCAACTCGAACATATATATATTTTTTAATTTTTTAAATTGTACGTAGTGTCAAGAGAAACACATATATTTCCAACTCGAACATATATATATATATATAAACCTTTATAAATTGTACGTAGATATTGACGATGCTCTACACGCGAGACTGTTGCCCAATGGCCACATTGAGGTGGGCGTGCACATTGCGGATGTGACACACTTCGTCGAAGCTGGCAGTGCGCTGGATCTCGAGGCGGCGGACCGCGGCACGTCGACGTACTTGGTGGACAAGCGCTTGGACATGCTGCCTGGCTTTCTCACCACGCAGTTGTGCTCGCTCACGTCGACCGACGACCATTTTGCGTTTAGCGTGCTGTGGGAATTGAAGATTGAAGGCAACGAGGTTCGTGTGATTCTTTGCGTTCTGGTCAGCGTCGTCATGCCTGTGAAACAGCTAGCTAGCTACCCATATATATATATATATCTTGTACATGGGTTGGGCGACTAGCTTGCCTAGGGGGTCCTAACGTTCATATGGTGTGTGCTTGTTTACTTGTTTTGCATTAGGTGCACGTGATCGACGTCTCGTTTTGCAAGAGTATCATTCGCAGCATTGCCAGTTTATCGTATGGCGAAGCCCAAGTGCTGCTGGACGACCCTGCGTCCGGGTCGTCGTACCTACAAGCGTCGTCTGCGACACCGTCCAAGGCCGACAAGAAGCTCACGTTGGGCAGTGGCATCAAGACCCTCAACGACATTGCCATGCGCCTCAAAGCCAAGCGCATCCAAGCAGGTTGAACCCACCCACCGTTGTTTGTTTACCTTGTCACACATGTGTGTTTTCATGTGACACTGTCAGGCGCGTTGACGCTGGCGTCGCCCGAAGTTCGGTTTGTGCTCGACACGGAAACCCAAAACCCCCTCGACGTGCAAATGTACGCGCTCAAAGACACGAATGCGCTCGTGGAAGAGTTCATGCTCCTCGCCAACATCACCGTGGCCAAGAAAATTCTGCGAACGTTCCCCACGTTTTCGCTGCTGCGTCGCCACCCAGCGCCGTCGAAACGGCAATTTGATGCGATTGTGAGCCAGGCCCAAAGCGTCGGCGTGACATTGCGAGTGGACAACTCCAAGCAACTGCAAGGTACGTACGTACGTACATATATGCCAGTAACTTTGCGACTGGCTGGCTCGGTCGTGGTCATATATATATATATATATATTGTCGATTTGATACAAATTTGGGGAGGGGATCGCGCCGACCAAACCGATCCAGAATCGATCTGATTGGTTGAATTTCATTGAGAAATGGGTTTTGATTGGCTAATAATTTTGAGCTCAACTGAGGTAGCCAATCAAATCGATTTAAATTCCAACGAGAAACCACAACACAATGAAATTTCACTCGAAAGCACAATATTGTCTTTCTTTTACCCAAAATTTGGTTGACTTTTGTGCTGATTCTTTGCCAAATCTATTGATATATCGATTCATTGTCCTGACTCATTTTGCAAAGGTCGTCCAGTATCACACGAATTTCAATATCACACACTAATTCGATGTTGAATTGGTTGAAGAGTGGGATTGGCTAGTTGATTCATGTGTGTTTTGTGTTTTGATTGGTCGTATATCATTGATTCTCTGCTGATTTGGTGATTCTGCTCATTCGATTGACCACCCAAACACTCGCATTTCGAATCGAATATGAACAATATGGGGTTGTGTAGAGAGTCTGGACAACCCCACTGCGTCACGAGCGGAAAATGCCTACTTTAACAAGATGCTGCGCATCCTGTGCACGCGATGTATGATGCCTGCGAGTTACTTTTCATCTGGAGAAGTCGGCGTGGATGAATACCATCACTATGGGTTGGCAGCGCCAATTTACACGCACTTTACATCGCCCATTCGACGGTAAAGTGAACACCAAGCCTAGTGCAAATTGCATCGTTTTGAATGTACTTCGATATAGATATGCCGACGTGTTGGTCCATCGACTGCTCAGCGCGGCCATTGGCGTCGCGCCGCTGCCCGACTACCTCGAAAACAAAGGTACCAAGAAGCACCTTTTTTCATATATATATATATATAATATATATAATATATATAATATATATGTTAAATATATAATATATATGTTAAATATATAATATATATGTACCTAGCGCACTTGCACGAATTGACGCAAGGGTTGAACCGCCGGCACTTGGCTGCCCAGCTCGCCGGCCGCGCGTCGGTGAGTTTGCACACGCTGTTGTACTTTGCCAACTTTCCTACCACGACGGACGCCATGATCAACAAAGTGCGCGCCAACGGCATCGGCGTCTTGCTGCCCCGCTTCGGGATCGAGGGCATGATCTTCTTGGCCGACAAGGGCAAGGAGGCGGCTGTCGTCAAGCACGATCCGGCGCACCACAAGCTGACGCTGCTGACAACCAACCGCGTGCTCCAAGTGTTCCAAAAGGTGTCGGTCAAGGTATTTGTCGAGCTCACGTTTGGCAACCGTCAGCAGTTGAAGTTTGAGTTGCTCGACGCGGGGGTTGAGACCAGCGATGACAACGCGACGACGGCTCCCCCTGCCAAGAAACGACCGCGAAACGCGTAGGGTCAAGTTGTATCGGTTCATATAACGTATCACACACTACTAGTACACAATTATACCCATGCTTTCGGATGGATTTATCTGTGCAGGAGACTGCTACGGACGAGGATGGCCATGACACCGCAAACATACATGATATGTGTACTACAATACTACCGTAGCTGTCGAGTAACGTTAATGCTAGGATGCTTGGAGTTATTATACTTCATGAAGTATGCTACAACCTGTTGCACAGTAAATAACTATGGTGGGTGGTTGCTATCGTAAAGCCAAGGTGGCAATTGTCGATGTGGAAATCAACAACCAAGCTAATAGTATGCTGGGCAATTTAGTCTTCGGGGGGAACGAAGCCTGGCTTTCGCCACGACAGGGCGATGTTCTTGGACTTGAAGTACACGTACACGACAACGTAAAACCCGACGATCCAGATGGAGCACCCCCCAAACGTTGCCGCAAACCACATGCTGTCCTCCTTGACATGCGACTCGAGGTTTTGGCCAAACATACCGGTCCACAAGTGCGTGACGAGGATGCCGAGGAACATAAACTTGAGGGACATGTCCACGACGAGCAAGTAGTTTCGCTTGGATGTCCATGCCAAGTCCACCATGCGTTGCGTGTTGTCAATTTTACTCAAGAGCATGGAAATGCTCGCGAGAGTGCCAAACACATCCTAATAACGACGGTACATAAACAATATAGTCACGAGTAGCTCAAGCTTGAGTGAGGGCGGACGTACCTGCAAATGGGTTTCTAACACGGACTCGACTTCGTCCAAGTCGACAACTTGCTGGTCCAGGCTTTGGGCCAGCTACGTACGAATTGAAGCCGTGGGAATGGCAGACCCACAACTACGTACTGTATCGTCGACTGTAGTACGTACCTTTGTCAAGTGCATCATACACAGGTCGGCTTCGTCGTCCAAGAGAGTCATGAGCATGCCACGTATGCCGCTCACTTGCACATGCAACCTCGTTACGGCAGTTTGCACGTTGCGCACTTGTTCAAACTCGTCTCGGGGGCGTTCGGCGCGAGCAAACGACGCCAGCGCCGTCTCCACCGTCGGCTTCAACCCCGCGCACTTCATGGCGAGCCACGATGTGATGGTCGACAACAGTCCTTCCAGCGCTCTATAAAACCATTGATTTGTGCGTTTCAGTCGATTAATTAAACCCACGTGAATTCAAAGGCGGTTCCGGGGCTTTCTCGCAGGTATGCCTGAACTCGTTGCTGCAGCTGGTCCATGAGACTGTCGACAGTATTGGTTGTCCCCAGCAGTACGATCAATTGATCGCGCAATATCACTGCTCGAATCGGATCTAACATCAGGGGGGTAAACTCATGAGGTGATGACGTGGCGCTGGGAATGGCGTACCAACGTTGACAAGAATGGCATGTTGTCGAATCACGAGGCTGGCGTCGGTGGACTCAGCGTACGCTTGGTCTAACTGCCGAATGTCACGCATATGAACTGCCTACTTTCACGTTAGGGGCCGACGTTGTCCTATCCCTCGTACTGGAATTCCCAAGTTTCCGCTTTTCGTTGGACGGGTCGATGCTGGAGACGACATGCCTGGTGCCTACCTTGCGTACCGGTAGCACAGAGCCAATGCTCATATTTCAAAGGTCTGTTGAATATTTGATGTAAGCTTACAAAGTCGTCGCTTGTCGAGTGGATCAAACTCAGTATATCGGCTCGAGTCAACGTTTGGAACGTCCGGCGCCCAGTGGCATCAAAATGGCAAGCCTACAAACACACATGCATTGTTTCTGGTGTTGATGACGTGATAGTGTAGGATGTCCATACTCGAATAGGAGCTCCAGAAGTTGGGACTACAGGGTCAATCACAAGGCGAACGTCGTGGTCACCAGCATGAGTGTGTGCATCGTCGAGCAGGCCTTGGCGCAAGCTATTTTCGCCATCGAACGAAAGCATCTCGCTATTGTTGCAGCTTGAAATGTCGAGGTGAAAGATCCAATTGGGCCGTGCGCCACGCGCAACTGAGTGGCAGTTACACATTGAAACCGCAGCTTCCAGGATCTATAAATAGACATTGCGTAAACAACGTGGCATACAAATCGACTTGCCAGTCAGTTAAGTGCACGCCACTCGATCGAACAATATGGCGGTCACTCCCTGCACGAAGCTCGGTGGTGGTCGGGATAACTCGATTCGTGTGCTCTGTGACTCGGCGCATCATGGCATCGTCGTCGCGACCAAGTGCAACGTCAGCTCCGTTTCTCGACTCGTTGATTCTTCCCAACGACACCATGCTCATCAGCCAAAATGGAAACCTCCTCGGGCTGCCCACATCTCCACACGGCCGTCGTCTGGTACAAAGTCATGGGTCACCGCCTTATGTTCGACTCACAGCCCCTCTAGGCCCTTCGGTTCGACTCAGCCGGCAACGCCGAGTACCACGAAGTGAGCCGCACGGACGTGTTGAAAACCATTCAAACCGCAGCTCGAAACATTGTGCTCAATCCTGTACGATCATATTCCACTTGTACATCCTAATTACCATCGCAGACCGGTGACGCCCCTGCGTCCCCCAAGACAATCGCTGCCAGTGATCGACGACAATCCAGATCGAGAACCCGCGCGCGCTTCATTGTCGACGCGGCCGTGGAAATCCCGGTATCCTCCGTCAACACTAATCGAATAAAACCGACGGTTGGACATTAAATCGGGAGTTGTCTAGGCTGTGCACATGCGCGATATTCGCAAGTTGGACAATGTGTTTTCCGCGTCCAACGAACCGTCGATTACCGTACGACAGCAAGTGATTTTGGTCAATTGCGGTATAAAGTTCTATTTTTCAATAACAAACCGCATGACTAATATTTGGTATGGTGTCGATATAATTAGACCCTGTACGAGCCGTGATCATGCGAGATTGCTGTTTGGTGTTTTTGCCGGACGGTGCCGACAGTTTGATCAGCCACTTGAAGAAGAACTTTAAGCAGCACGTGGGGGAAGCCATAGCATTTGAATTCGCGTAAGTGCCTACCTACATACGTGCCTTCTGGACTACTGTATATAAGGGGCCTCGACAAGTCCAATGATATGGGTAATGTAGCGCGTTGGAGGCAATCTTAGCGACCATTTGCCGCGTCTTTGCAATGGAATGCGAAAAGGTCATTCCATTGGGCCGATCAGCATTGGACAAAATGACCAAGGACGACTCGATGATGGGGGAACTGGAAGGGCTCCGGTCGATCAAAAATGCCATGAGCACGCTCGAAGCCCAAGTCGGAGGCATGCGGCGACTGCTCATGTCCCTCTTGGAAAACGAAGAAGATCTGCACATGATGTACCTCACCAAGGTACATATGATTAATACTAACTACTTTCCCATTATCTTGTGTTTCACCAAGTCGTCCATGTCATACATGTACATGGATGGGATTGTAGTTGCACAACGACCCCGGGTTGGTGCACGACTTGTTCAGTTACGACACGGAAGACGTCGAGTCATTTTTGGAAGTGTACCTCCAAGTACGTCAAAGTCCATCTAGTCAAAACTAGATGGACTTTAGAATTCTATGGACACAACAAGATATATATATAATGTATTAATAGTCATGTTTTACACATTTAAATAGGAAATTTACGGGTCCCAAACGCGCGTAGCGCTTATGGCCAACAACATCCTCAACACGGAGAGCATCGTGATGCTCAAACTCGACGCGAAGCGAAACTTTTTGTTGAGTGTCGACTTGAGTCTCACGCTTATGGGCACGCTGCTGGCCATGCCGACGTTTATTGTGGGCGCGTTCGGGATGAACCTCAACTCGTACATCCAAGAGACGGACTACATCTTCTGGATCGTGTTTGCCGTGTGCATCCAGTTTGTCCTGGTCGGGTACTACGTCGTGGTCCAGTTTTTGAAGCTCCAAGGCATCAACATGTCATGGAAGTACTAGACGAATGGCCAGCGATATCTTGGTTGGGGTTGGAAGGCAGAGAGTTAAGTTATAAACACTATTATCGATAGGATTACACTCGTTTATGCCACGACAAACTCAATCCCCGCGCGAGAAACATTTTGCACACGACTGCGTACGCGCCAAACGTCCACACGGCGCAGAACACGGTCGTGCCCCAGAACAGCGCCTCGTTGTCCTCGAAATCCGACCGGATGTTTTGACCGAAGAGCCCCGTCCAGTAGTTGGTGCAGTACAGCATCAGCAGCATTACCCGCAAAGACATGTCAATGAGCAGCAAATAATTGCGCTTGGACGTCCACAGCAAGTCCACCACGCGCGCCGTGTGTTGGATGTTGGACCCCATCAGCGAAATCTGCGACTGGATGCCGTAAATATCCTATAGGAAATATCACTTTATGAGAAATGATATACCCAGAGTAATCAGGTAATAAAAGATACTAGTATGTCAGGAGGACAAGTGCACCATATCACTTTTGATGATAAATGATATATCGTGAGTAGAAGTGCAATATGTACTGATAACAACACACATGTATCACTTTATTTGAAATGATATACTCGTGCATTCTGAGGATATCGGTGGGTTGTGTACGTACTCGTAAATGCACTTCCAGAAGGGACGTGGCCTCGTCGACGTCAAAATTGAACTCGCCTTGGAGCAACGACGGATCGTTGTGCATCTACAACTGGCTAAGTAACAAAAGCCACGAGGGGGAATACTCGTAGTTTAGTGTGTACTTTGGTCAAGTACAACATGTGCAGGTCATCGTCGTTGTCCAGCAACGACATGAGCAACCGCCGCATGCTCACGACGTGGGACTCGAGCACCGCCAAGGTCGTTTGGATCCCCCGCATCTGTTCGAACTCGTTGCGCGGGCGTTCGACTTTTGCGACTTCCCGCAGCGCCGCTTCGGCCACGGGTCGAAAGGTTTCAAACGACTTAGAATACCCTGCGGTGAGGGTCGACAAGATCACTTCGAGGGCCCTACGAGTCGCCCAAGACACAACTGAATATATACAACTATTCATATATATATATACATATTTATATACATATATATATCATTTTTCAAATTGACGTCGAGGGCTGCTGTAACGCTACGTACGAAAACTCAAACGGAGATGTTGGGTTTTCGGCAGAGTATTCTCGAAACTTGGCCTGCAGCACCGCGACGACGTTGTTGGGGCCGTCAAACACAATACAGGCATTGCGAAGAACCACTGCTCGAATGGGAACTACGAAAAACGGATGGTTGAGACGTCGTTTGAATGCATGGCTAACAGGGGCCGAAATGGGGTGTTGAAATACCAACGTTAACGAGGATGGCCTGCTGGCGAACGACGATCGTAGGCTCTTGGGACTCGACGTATGCTTCGTCTAGCTGCCGAATGTCTCGCATTTGAATGGCCTACACACAAACCCATGGTTAACATACGCTTCCAATGCAAGGCATTGGATACCGGAATCCCGCCAAGGATGGACCGCCGCGTAGCCCTCGGTCTTGGCAGTCCCTACATAGTTTGTGAAGCAAATGACTAAGTACATAAGGCAAACTGTGCGATGTACGTACGGTACTGGACGATGCCGATTGGATCATCTTAAACAGGTCGGATCGTGAAACTTCCCGACATGAGCTGGTCCCACTAGGATCGAACACCCACGCCTGCGTTTTGGCTGTTAAGAAAAGACTAGTTGATGGGAGGGTACCATGGACTTTCCGTTGGGCAGCATCCCGTGAATGGATCGTCGTATGTCGCCCGAGACGATGGGGGGGTCGAGCAGAGTCCCCTGGCGGCTTTCATACATCCCCGAGATCCCAGCGCTAGCGAGCATGTAGATGGAAGGCATGAGAACTCAATGGGAACTGCATTCTAAACTTAGATACATATGGTGATATACACTTGCTTTGCACGCCGTTCATATCCGCTAACGCGTAGAGTTCGAGTCATGAACAGTATACTGTTATCATCGCTATTCGCTATTGCATTCCTGTAAATTATGTATTGTACTCGTGTAATTTGACGGTGGCTCATGGAGGGTCATTGCAGTAGTGACCATTCATGTCGGGTTGTGCAAAAGTGTAGTGTACGTACCAACAATTCAGATGTAGCGATTTTGCGAGGATATTAATAGCTCGCCATTTCTGTTTCGCTGCAGCGAGCGTGTCGTGCTGCTATAGGCATGGGACCTCGGCATGGCAAAGAATTGCCAGTCAAAGGCCCAGTGCTTTCGGCTGAATTCCACTCCACGCACACGATACTGCACACCGACGGGCTGCTGCCGCCTACGATAAATACGCTAGGCAAATGCATGGTACGCGTGCAATCTCAAATTTCGATGCAACTGCCACACTCACATTATGTGTTGCGGCAGACCTTGCGTTTTGACATCCACGGCAACTCGGCGTACGAAGAAGTGACCCGCAACGACATCCTCACCACCATTCGAATCGCCGCCACCAGCGTCGCCTGTGAGGTACGCCCACACTGTTCGCTGCTGCCCTCGTCATTGGACTCTCAGGCGAATGATCCCGACGGCACTCGGGCGCCAGTTCACGTCATGTCCACATCCCCTCAACGTCGAAGCAAACCCCATTCCCGCATCCGACAAGTCGGGGACACTGCCGTGGAAATCCCGGTACTCCCCATGTATCGAATTTCAGCAGTCAGAGTGTACACTCACCGCAACGCTGCAGACCGTCCACATGCGGGACATTCGCAAACTGGACAAAATGTTTTCGACCTCCAACGAACCGTCCATCACGGTGCGCCAGCAAGCGATCCTCGTCAACTGCGGTACACATCGCATGCCTTGAGATTGTAGCTCAGTGCTGACGTCCATCCACTTGCAGACCCCGTGCGAGCCGTGATCATGCGCGACTGCTGCTTTGTGTTTTTACCTGACGGCACCGACAGTTTGATTGCGCATCTGAAGTCCAACTTCAAACTGCACATTGCCGACGCCTCGGCTTTCGAATTCGCGTACAATCACACCATATAGTATTATATCCAATGCATATATAGATATCCAACCCATTGTTTTCGTGGTTGTAGCGCGTTGGAGGCGATTTTGGCCACGATTTGCTGCATCTTTTCGACGCAGTGCAAACAGGTGATTCCACTGGGGCGGTCCGCCCTCGAGAAAATGACCAAAGACGAGTCCATGAGCGAACTGGAAAGCTTGCGGTCCATCAAGAATTCCATGAGTGTGCTCGAGTCGCAACTGGGCGGCATGCGGCGGTTGCTTATGACGTTGCTCGAAAACGAAGCGGACTTGCACATGATGTACTTGACCAAGGTGCGTAACACATGACCCATTCCTAGCTTTGTTTTGGTGGTCGACAATGGCCTGTTCAACAATAATGGACAACCACGTATTGACATTGGATCGATGGTATAGCTTTGCGAAGACCCCAAGCTGGCGCAAGACTTGTTCTACATTGACACGGAAGATGTCGAGTCTATTTTGGAGCTGTACTTGCAGGTACTAACAAGTAAATATAATATCGACTGCATGATCGACACTCGACGGGTCCGGATGTAGGAAATCTTCAGCTCCCAAACCCGTGTGGCGCTGATGGCGCAGAACATTGTCAACACGGAGAGCATCGTGATGCTCAAACTCGACTCAAAGCGGAACTTTCTGCTGAGCGTGGACCTCAGCCTGACGCTCTTGGGCACGCTGATTGCCATGCCCACGTTTATCGTGGGCGCGTTCGGCATGAACTTGAACTCGCACATCCAGGACACAGAATACGTGTTTTGGGTCGTGTTTGCCCTGTGCGGGCTGTTCATCCTCGTCGGCTACGTTGTCGTTGTCAAGTACCTCAAGCAACAAGGCATCAACATGTCGTGGACATACTAATCATACCGGTATACTACTATTACTACTGTTTGTTGTGGTTGCTCTTGGCGGCTCACCCGGAGGGCGACCTAGGGGCTTGTACTAGAAATATGACAGTACCATAAAGTCAGTTTCGTAGATGCCGAAGTTAGTATTATCCCCACGAGTACTTGGTACTATACAGTTCAAGGCAATAACTAACTCTAAACGTCCTCGTTTTGAAGGTTGATGTTGATTTGTTGGGGAATGCATGTAGGTCACGACCAACGTTCTCTAAACGAGTCGTTGATGAGAAATTTTCATACCGTATTTTTCGGATAAATTTGGTAACTTTTGCGCAATTATTCCCGAAAAGTGCGGTCTATTTGAATCACGAGTCGTCCCATTTGTTCGGATTTGATCACTTCCATTTTCCTTCATGACTGTCGTTTGCAGTAAGCCGACCTCGTCCCACGACGTCGTCTGACCATTGATCGTGTGTATGTAGATAACTGCCGCTTTGACGGCAATGCCAAAGAGGCTGCGTTCTGCTCCCGCTGCGGTGGACCTTTGAGCGGTGCCAACGCGACTCCATCGTACGCCCCGCAGCCAACGCCGCCGCAGCAAGGATACCCGGGACAAGGCCCGCCGCAGTACGCGAATGGTGGGCAACAACAACATCAACATCCCCATGTCGTCCATGCTGTGCCAGTTGTGCAACAACCTCAGTACGTAGTTGTCCAGGCGCAGCCCCAAGTCCTCGCCAGTGCCGAATTCATCGTCGTGCCTGGCCAAGTGATCACGGCGTCGGGCCACTGCGCCCATGCTGTCCAAACGAATGAGTTTACGTGTCCGGGAGTGCTCTTGGGTATTCTCTTCTTCCCTATCGGCATTCTATGCTGCCTCTTGCTCACGGAACGTCGCTGTGTGCATTGCGGTGCCATCCTCAACTAAACCCAATAACGTCGAGCTTCGTCTAATCCATTTTCGCCAACTGTATATTTGCAAGCCGCCAAACCAATCCCATTGCTCCTCAAAACACATGTGGTCTATGCCAGGAGGTTATAGGCCAGTATCGTAATCTGCAGGCTGCATTATGAAACGGCCACAATTAGAACTCGTTTCACTTTCTTTCCGCGGGAGGCGCAAACTGCCCTAATGACCAGTAGCACGCACGTCCTCCTCGAATCGTTGACTAGCCATAACGTGTCCGCTACATCCCATCACCGTCCACGGCGCCACCACGCTCCGTACTTGGATGTCCTGACGGTGCAGTCCCGCCAGTACATTAGCCACCAGTTCGAACGCGACGATGTCGACAACGACCACACCAAGCTCCTCGTAGAACCCATTCATATTCCAGACCTGAAGCATACGGGCATTGCTGTTCCATTAAACACGCTCGGCCACAGCGCGTCGGCGCCGCTGTTCTACCCCAACGGAACCAAGAATGTTCATTTACGCCAGGTGATCCAGGACTCGCTGGCACACGTGACGAGCACGCCATCGCTCCAGGCGCCGGAGCTGCCCACACCCAACACGGCGACGGTCACCCTTCAGCCGAGCGTGTCTGAATCGACCGCCAGTGGCATGCACATGCCGAGCAAGATCCAGAGGAGCACCGAACAACTCAAACCAAAAAAGACTACCCGGTTGCACCGGTCTATCCACGACCGACCCAACGACCGCGGAACCAAGGAGCTGTTGCACAGCGTACGCCACAACTCGACGAAAATCACGGCGCTCGTGAACCCCCATGCCACATAAACTGTCCCTCAGCTAGCCATGAACTCAACATTCCACGGATATTGGGGACGCCCTTATATTGCACCTAGCTCGACCTAGGCAAAATCGATGAAGTGTCTTCTGCTGCCACCAAGAACCATGGCACTAGTAGTCCAATATGTAGTAGGGATACTATTAGTAGTACAGTATACGATTATTAATAGTTGTGTAACTTTGGTCTCATATGCCAACCGAACCATTGCAATCCCCGTGTTGACTCGCTACATGTTGCCTTACGATGAAGTTTGCATTGCATATTCAAAGCATTGTAGCCTGTACAGCCTGTAGCAACCCCCCATACTAGTACAATACCAACACCCATATAGACATAACATTAGATCAACGTTCAACACGGATTCATTCACTGGTCAAATTGGAAAGATCTCCATGTCGTCGGGCAAATTGAGCATTTTCAACTTTTGCTTGGCGATTTCAATGCCATCGCCGCGGGCGGTCGGCGGGGGGGGCGGCAGGGCCGCCTCCGCCTCGTCGACGTGTGGAACCACCGTGCCGAGCCCCATGCCAGCCGTCACGAAGTCCTTGACGGCCGCTCGCCACCACGCGTACAGTTCGGGGACGGTTGGCGCGGGGTACTTGGACGGCGGCAGCTTGGTCTTGTCCAGCATCACGCGGCACACGTCCTCAAATGGCATGAACGGCTGGCGCGGCAAGACGACAGTCTCCAAGTACCGGCGGTGTGCTGGCTTGGACGTGCGATGGGGGAGCGAGTAGTAGATGCTGTCTTCCAGCGATGGCACGTCGGCAAACTCGGCGTGGACTTGCACACGAACGTACTCGATCATAGCTGTGACAACGTTGGATGACGGAAACGCGGGGTCGGTCGCGTCGAAATGCATGTGCATGTAGTACATCAGCGCCGCGTTCGAGATGGGGGCTTCTTTCTCGAGCCATTCGCGAATGGACGACAGGTATCGTTCGTTCGCAGGGACGAGAAACGACGACTCTGTCACAGGGGGATCTTCGTTCAATGCTCGTGTCCAAGCGTTGTCGGCGTCGTCGTTCCGATTTCGTAGCTACACACAACCCCCCTTGAACAACCACTGGAGATACTACAGAGATACAGTGGATATATGGATTACAGGCGGGGGGTAGCATGCCAAGGCAGTTCCCACGCTGCCGCGAGGGTCGCCGTCTTGCATCCACTGCCTCGCGGTGGCGACGAGCACGCTCGAAAACGGCAGGTCGGGCGGGTACCGGGCCCCCAGAAGCGTATAAAATACCCGGCACAGGTGCAGCAAGTTCACACGACCATGAGCAGAAACAAACGCCCGGAACCGATCGCGGATGCGGCGGGGGAGGATCACGGGGTTGCGCTTGAAGTAGTCCATGGCCGCCGCCACAGCTTCAATGGACGGTAGCCCTCGACATCTCCCATACTGGCGTCGCCACTTGGACTCGACGTGCTCGAGGCATCTACCCCAAGATCAGTATCCAACAGCATATATTTATGAGACACAGTACTTGGGTGATGTGGCGTGGAGACCGTGTCGCATCATGTAGTGCTGAATCCAGTGCAAAAAGCGAGCGGGGATGCGATACTGTGGAAGGAATGGATGGTAGCGGCGCAGAGCCTTGACGATAATCCCCGCTTGCTGGCTCGACGGGGGTACGGGGAGGCATTTGTACAGGTATGACGTGTGCAAATGGTGGAGGGGGGCGGTGGACGGCGGCGACACGAGCAGCAGCTCGTCCTCCATCGCCGCGGCAAAGCAGTCCTTATCTGTGAGCACCAACCCTCCGGTGGATGATGAGGAAGTGTCTGTTTGGATGGCATGTAGCACGGACGATGTCATGTCCATGTGCCAAGGATTGGTCTGTCTGCTTCGCTGGCCTAAGAGCCAGTCCATCGGATGCTGCTGCTGGTGCTTGCTTTGACTTGATTCAAGAGTGACCCTCGCGTCGATAGTATTGTTCACAGGTCGTGGAATGCGACATGGTGGAGGCGCGGCGCCCGTCGCGACCTACGTCAACATGAAAGTATGTACTACGAAACGACTAGAATCACAAATGACCAGTCGTACACCGTGTCGCACAACAACACACGTGTGACACAAGCAAATGCGAATGTTGGAATCAACTGTCAGGTTTCCTACTTGATGCACTTGGACGGCGTCTTCTAGCTCGAACGACGTGAGCACTTGGGGTCGTTTTAGCAAGTGGGGTGTGCGCAGTTGGCCAATCGACGGCCGCCAACTCAACGGCTGCGACAACGTACGAACCACTGGCAGGCCGATACATTTCAGCGACGAGGGGGATGCTGGCTGTCGAGTGGGCTGTCGAGTTAGAGAATCGAGGTGGAACCTGCACACATGTCGTCGTCCACCAGTACAGTATTAGCGGGATATTGTGGTTCAAGGATACGAGGTATTATATATACACACGTTCATACACATGCTAAAACATCTAAAAACATAAATAATAACTAAAAAAATGAAAAAAATAATTACAAAAATAAACGCGTTAACAAAATATTAATATACTATTTATATGTTTTATTAAAAAGTATAACATTAAACATTCTAAAATTTAAAAAACAAGAAGGAAAAATGGTAAATTTTCTGAATATAAAATATAGGTTTAAAATGCTTCGTAATATTACCGAGTTGCCAGGGTTGCCACGTCGTGGTGAGGGGAGTGGACGAGGGTGGCTAGCTCAAGGGTATGCGACAGAGCCTCCACACCCCATACGCGTACAAATACAATGCACTGGAGTACGTTCAACAGTGTCAACTCGTCTAAAAGGTGTAAATATAGAGAAGATGAATCATCTATGAGAAAAACGTGGCAATAAGATTTGGTGCTGCGTACTGGCAGAGCTCGTGTTGGTGGTATACACCCGACGCCACCACTGCCGCGGCTCAAAGTACAGCGCCACGTGCTGTGAAAGCGGTGGCAGAGATACCTAAGATACAAGTAGGTGAATAATGCTAAATGGATGTAATATAGTAGGTCGACTACATGGAAATGAAAGCAACAAGTACGTACGGGACCAAGGACGTCGGCGAGCTGCTGCCATATCCAAAGGGTCGTGTCTGGGTGCAATTGCTGGTACATGTTACTGCCGCAGTGGTCGAGCGAATGACATAGACTCGCCACCAGTTGGCCCTTGGTCACGAGGTCTACTCGTCGTAAAATACAGTCAGAGCCAGAATTACTTGTTAACTTCAACATCGTCATCGCACCTTGAGCAAAGCACTCGACAAGCGCTTTTAACGGCACCAACGTCGACGGATCCAATGTATTCCATCTGCAAGTGAATGGCTGAGTCATTACAACACAGGCGGAACGGCAGATTTACGTAGATCACAATACCGAATGCAAATATCCACGTGGGACGCTACCGAGGCTGGAAAGTACCGCTGAAAAAACTCAAACAGCTACACATATTGTTGAACATTATATATATATTGTATAGATGTTGTGACCATGCGGCACGCGTGCGGTTCGGTCGGGTGTAGGTGGTAGAAATGCTCCAAGTAATCTGCGGCCAGCTCAATGTCGTTCTTCATCACAAGGATCTAGCCAATTGCACGTCAAATATATATATATATATAATTGCAAAAATAGACACATTTACGTACTTGGACATAATACTCGACAAAAACGTTGCTTTCCGGGCTCAACGTCATGGCACGCCGAAAACTCACCGACGCTTCTTGGTACAGTGTCGCAGTGCCAACGACGTGCCGGATGGGGAATTGGGTTTCTTGGTCGTTGTCCATGATATCATCGTTGTCGCCGTCGTCGTTGCTCTGGGAGGACAAAGGTGCGTGTATGTAGGCATCGCGGATGGCTTGGTCCTCTCGAAACAACAGCCAGTAGCAGACCATCCCAAAGCTTGCGATCACATGGATGTCCTGCTGTAGCACTTCCTACAGCCCAAAGAAGCATCATGGCATCTGCTCAACCTTAGTCGTGTGCGTACCAGTTGCATGTGCTCCTTGTAATATGCATACGCTTCGTGCAAGTCGCCTTGTAGCAAGTATAAGAGGAACCTCTCGCGCAGAATCACGTCGTTCTAGATATGAGCAGCATGCAGTGGACATCTTGCCTGGGGGTAAGAATGGCCACGTACGCTAATGTGATCGGACTGCCACTCGAGCAACGACTGGTAAAATTCCACGAGGGTCGGTGTGGAATCTGGCAGCCGTCGCAGGATTTCCAAGCTTGTCTACGCAACCAAGATGTTCAAGGTCGCCGCTGCAAAGGTCGCCTTACCGTGACACAAGCGGCTGGATCTGACATGAGGTGCGTGTAAATGACGCTAAGTACCCCTGCAGCGCCTCGGTAGTCTCGAGCGCCCATGAGCTAGGATGTCAATTAGGCTTCGATGGACACAAGCAGCATGCCACCGACAAGTTGTTGGGGCAGCTTACCACTGGTAGAAGTTGCTGTATCTGGTGGGAGAGAGAGCCTTCCACTGATCGAGAGAGCCCGAGACGGCCGCCGGAAGGCCCGAGGACGTCTTTCCGCTTCCAATGGCCATAATGCCGAGGTCCAAGCGATTGGTATCCCATCTTGCGGCTCGATGACCTCCAGAATTATATCCAATCACAGGCAGACGTCTAGAGCTGACCAATCAAATCCACCATCGATGCCCTTCAAGCCCCAAGTTATAAATAGAATAGTTGTACCCCAATAATGGAGGAAGGGCCATTGCAACATTACGACGATAAGCCGCATGACGACAGCCACAGTAGCGACTGGAGTAGTCGCCATACCTGGCCCATTTCAAGTGATCAAGCCCCCGCAGCCTTCGTCCACGTCCACGTGGAAGGACGTACCGTACGCTGTCCTCTTCGTTGCGAACGTGGTGGCCATCGTTGCTGTCATGGTGTCGCTGGGTTTGCCGCTCCTGCAAGCCGCCACCACCTCGTCCTCCTCGTCCGGTCAAGCCAATGCAACGGCATCGAGTTCCGAATTTACGTCAGGGGATATGGCAACTGTCGTTGCCGTAGCTACTGCGCTTGCGGTGGTGTCTGCCATTGTCGCCTACTTGCTGTTGCAAGTCGTGTTGATGCATGCCAAACACATAATTTTGTACAGCTTGTGGTACGTTCTATTGTCGAACTGAAAATCCAATGGAATTGATATCTGTGGCAGGGCCAACGTGATCCTTTGCTTTGTATTCGCTGCCGCGGCAATTGCAAGTGGAGTCGTCGTCCTCGCACTGTTGTTTATCGTTTTCGGATTCTTCAGTCTCTGGTACACCCCTGACTTGTAGTCCAATACTAACTCCAACATTTACCATTCAATAGCTACCTTCACGCAGTCCAGAGCCGCATTCTATTTGCTGGCGCCAACTTACAAGTGGCGGCGGCCGCAGTCAAGAAGCACTGGTCGATTTTTCCTGTGGCATTTGCATTGATGGCCGTGCAAGTGGCTTGGGTGTTCATTTGGTATGCCATGTGTATATACGACCACTCTTGATCTTGTGCATCAGCTTGACATGCAGATTTCCATTAGGGCGATTGCTTTGGTGGGGGTGTTTCAGAAGGCAACTTCCCCGGTGCCCAACCTCGGGGCGAGCGTCGCTGGAACGTCGTGCTCCGCCAGCAGTGAATGCGAATCCGACGTGTGCGCGAAGTCGTCCAATGCCACTCGATTGACCTGCCAGCCGTTCATCCCTGGTCAAGCAATCGTCACATACTTTTTCATGCTAGTCTCGCTCTATTGGGGCGTCAATGTACGATATATGGGAACATTAAGTGACAGTGAAAGCACCGTACGAATGCCTTAGGTGGTAAAATACTTGCTGCATACCACTGTGGCGGGCACGGTGGCCACGTGGTGGGCGGCGGGGGACTCGCAGTCGGCGACCGGAGGCGCCTTTCGCCGCGCCATGACCACGTCGTTTGGGTCTATTTGCATGGGGTCGCTGCTCGTGGCGATTTTGGAAGCGTTGGAATCGGTACACTGCATTCATATATTAGTTCAAAGCGCATCAACGTGAATATGTGCCTGCCAGCCTCGTGTTCAGTCGATATGAGATGGTTTGACACGAGGTTTGTAGATGGCCAAGGAAGCGAGAAAGAAGGGCAATGGCGTCGCATGCGTGGCGGAGTGCATTTTGAACATGCTGCGGGGCATCCTCGAGTACATTAACCGATGGGCGTTCGTATACGTGGGCATGTACGGGTTCCCGTTTGCCCACGCTGGGAAGGCCGTGTATGGTTTGTTTCAAACACGAGGGCTGTCTGCGATCGTCAACGACGACTTGATCGGGGCGGCCATGGGGTCGCTCTCTCTTGCGTGCGGTACGTTGTGTCTGATATCTTGTTGGAATGGAACTAACCGGCAAGTTGTAAAGGACTGATTTGCGCCTTGTTGGCACTCGCGTATACATACATTGACACGGCACACACTTCGTTTGATGGGGCCAACTGTACGTACAAAACTTTGTGGATGTAGAATGAGCTCTGATGTTTTCTATTCGGAATCGATAGTGATTCTTCCACTCATGGGGTTGGCGTTTGGTGTTGGCGTGACTGTGATTCCACTGAGCGTGGTGAGCAGCGCCGTGGCCACCGTCTTCGTGTGTTTTGCAGAGGTGGTATATTGAAATCGATCCACGGATGAATTGAATTACACTGAATGAGTTGGTTGATTCAGGATCCGGCGGCATTAAGTCGAACGCACCCTGAACTCCACAACGAAATGGTTGGGGCCTGGCGGTTGGCGCATCCCGATGCCATGGTGGCCTTTTACCCCTTGTGACTGACCATATTAGGGCACCTTGTATTTGCATTTTTTAACTCCTCGATTACTTCGGAGTACTTTTAACGTTACACCAGCATTTTCGCATTTGTTTTCGCATTCAGAGTGTCAATCGGAGGACCTGTAGTATTTTTGTCACACACTACAGGAGCAATACAGTATCACGACGAATATCACCCCAAGCACCCCAAGATAAGCTTACTACCGGTACCTCCAGACGGAAATAAACCGACCATAACGTTAAGGGGAAAATTTGTATATTTCGAACAATTTTGAGAATTTTCAAAAACCGCGAATATGTGCTTAAAGTGCTGAAAGCAACGCATCCGATTGGCTTGATTTCGTTAAAAAATGATTAGATTCAACTTGAGGTGGTTGTACCAAATACTCGATACTAGTACACAACTAACAGACTAAATCGTACGGATACAGTTCAGTTATCCGAATTACTGGAATGTTGATCATCAGTTTAGAGTGGCATGATGTCGTGATTCGCTCGACTTCCCAGCATTTCAACCTCACACCGCACCGAACGGACCCGTGGCCATATGGACATGTGACATATAATGAAATCCTTCTTCAGGACATTGATAAAATAGGACGAAGCCGCAAAAGACCTCAGGACGACAACTACATCAACCAATGATCTCAAGTCGACCTTCCACGGAGATGCATCGTCGGTGCATTCCTCGGCGACTCCTCGTGGGAAATCGGGTTAAACTAAACCTACATCATCACTGCCGCTATCATGCGTTTGAGGTTCACCTCCATGGGAGTGGGTGAAGGTTTGGGGTTCTCCATGCTGAACCTCTTGAGAATAGAGGTCGCATATTGGAATTGATGCATCGTGAGAGGTCCTTGCGAACGGCCTCGAACGATGTGGAACCCAAGAATGACTTGAGTGGGCCAAGGTCTTGCATTTTAAAACGCGCCGACAGGCCATGTTTGATTGCTGTCATCATGTCCTTCGTGGGAGCCATGATGACGAGGTCGTCGCCATAGACGCCGATGTAAACGGATCGTCCGTTCATGACCTTTGTGAAGACACACCTGTCTTTGACAAGTTGGGTGTACCCTTGCTTGCGCAAGTAGGTAGCCAGTAGCCAGTGTCTGGAACCACAAGTGTGGTGCCTGTTTCAGGCCGTAGACGCTTCGAAGTACTCGAAGTACGTCGCGAGGATTGGCGGTGCCAAATCCTGGAGGATGTTTGACGTATACTTCACAGTCGATTTCTCCATTGAGAAAGGCTGTCATGACGTCCATCGCGTCGATCTCATAATCGAGGACTGCGCCGAGAGTAAGTATCCATCGCAGAATTTCCTTTGCGATGACTGGGGTGTAACTCTCCTTGAAGTCGACTCCTTGGACCTTAGTGTGTCCTTGGATGTCAAGTCGCGCTTTGTAGCGGGCGACCTGTCGCTAGCCTCAGTGGCTGAGTCATCGTATTTGATCTTAAAGACCCAGCGCATGCCCAGGGCTGACTTCCCTGGAGGCAATGTTGCGCTCTCGAACGACATGTTCGCCTCATGTGAAGCCAATTCGAGCAGCATGGCTTCGTGCCAATGCACTTTGGCTGAAGACTTCATAGCTTGCGCATATGTTGAGGGCTCCTCAGTAGGTGCTTTGACCTTGAGTGCCGAGAGGACATGCTCTGGTGTCGAGATGGATTGAGCGCTCGATGCGTCCTCGATATAAGACATAAGTAGTCGTGCAGGGCCGTCGGGTTGACGTCGCCGCGTCCAATGTGGTAGTCTGCCATGAGACGATAACACACTCTTTGGTGTGGTCGTGGTGTCACTCGAGACCACAAGGGTCGAGGTAGAGTCTCGAGCGACTGGATTGTCGTAGGTGACAATGTTAGCTTGGAGGTGAATGTCGTATTCACATACTCCAGAGTAAGGTAGTTTGTATTTCTCGTGAAACGAGGTACACGGGACGGGAAATACTTCCGTCGTCGAGTTAAATGTCAAAGATCGATGATGTTTCGGAGTCGGAATATTCGTCCACTGATGTTCGTGTCGATCGATTCGATGTCGACGAGGACTCGGTGAGCCTTCCGAATTACGAGTCACTTCTGAGCCTGGTACATCATGTACTACAGGTATTTGCCATACTGGACTCGTGGAGACAGAGTATAAAGCCTCCCCAAGTGAGGGTAGAGGTGTGGTTGCTGTAGTAGCCTCACCAAGATGCGATGGCAACGGGGGTTGTGTTTGGGGAAGTGGATTGTCCACAGTAAAACAATTACGGTGTGGAAGCTCAGGCCGCAGTCGTTTGACTTCCTCGACTGATTTCAGGAGGGGAAACTGATGCTCAACAAAGGTGACATCACGGATCGTGAGCACGTAGTGTGTGTCAATGTTGAGAAGCTTGAACCCGCGAGATGTCTCGGGTAAGCCGATGTACATGCACAGCATGCCTCGTGGAGACAATTTGTTCGCACGCATGGGTGTGTTGATATGGGCATAGGCCACACATTCAAATACTCGGAGTCGATCGTAGTCTGGATGGTTTTGATGCCATAGACGATATGGTGTGTCACCACTAATCGTGGTAGACGTCAGGATATTCGTGACGAAAACTGCATGTGATACTGCCTCGCCCCACAGAAACTGTGGCAGGTTACCATGCAGTAGCATGGACCGGGTGATCGTGACGATCATGCCCATACGACTCTCGGCCACAGGATTCTGTGTCGGCGTGTAGGCATTCGTATACGTCAATCAGGTTCCGTATTCTTGGAGAATACGCTTCCCGAGCTTGACATATTCGGCGGCGTTGTCCATTTGGAGCACCCGAATTTCCTCTAACTCACTTAATGGTGAGTGATGATAGCATAGCTCGAGGATGTCGGAGCGATAGCGCATCCGTGCATCCTGGCAGAAAGTACTGTACTTTTCGTACAGCTCTGCACGCCGTAGCATGATGTACACGAAGGTGTATCGAGTAAAATCGTCAATAAATGTCACGAAGTATCTACCCTATCTCCAATGAATAGCTCAACAATGAACTAAATATGTCTTTGTTTTGTCTCCCGCTTCTTCTTGGCTTTCTGCCACGAGACCTTCGTCAAGGTAGCAAATATAACACTGATATTAGTGAGGTTAAAAACGCCACGAGGCGCCTACTGACTACCATTTACTAAAGTACTCAGTACCTCCACTAAGGTATCGGAACCTTTGACACGGCACACACACAGAGTGTGTGTGTTTGCAATGGGTCAAACTAACGCGCGACCCAATTGCTCTGCACGCTGCAGAACATACACGCTTGTTCTTGAAATACGACGAATTTGACAAGTTCGAAGTTGTCTTTCTCTAGAGCTGTTGATTCAGGTGACATGCAACAAAAGTGATCTGGATAGTATTGGTTGTTTTTATGAGGAATAGAGAGTTTCGTGACCCGTTGTGTATGCATTGAGAAATCCGTGACCTGCATCGCGCGTTTCCCGCATGTACGCATGCACAATCTGCAGGATTGCAAAACGTAAATAATTATGGGAATGAATAAACACATGCATAATACTTAATACAAATATCAACATAATGATGTTCAAGCGAATAATAATATGTAACTGTCGCCCCCATACAGTGCTGGTAATAAGTTTAAAGCCACCCAAAAAATTGGAATATCAGAACACCATGAACGAATGTGTATGTGCAATAATGATGAGCTTGGATCGCGTGGGAATGACATTCAAATGCTTGCGCTTTCAAAAGCATAATCAAAATTGCGACTTTTGTGAGTGAAGTGAATACTTGCCCTGGCAAAACCTTTATGACCACCACTGAAAAACAGCAAATATTGTATGTGTAGTGACATATATTTGTGCTTAATATTTGGTTTTGCCACCTTTGAGCTCTATGACACTCACACACCTATTCGGCATTGACTGCAGGAGCTTTTCGATCAAGTTTTGCCCGATTTCGTCCCACGCCTTGGAAATGGCAGCAACCAGGTCGGGTTTTGTCGCAAATTGTACATAAACTGCACGTGCAAGAACACCCCGCATGTTCTCGATCGGATTGAGGTCCAGCGACTTCGCTGGCCACTCGATAACGCGTACGCCATGCTCGTTAAGAAACGCTTTGGTCTCTCGCGACGCATGGATCGAAGCGTTGCCATGCTGACAAACACAGTCACGACCATAGTAATCGTCGATGTAAGGGAACAAATAGTCAGACAAGGTACCAAGGTAGGCACCACTGTCCTGCAAATCCTCCAAACAGGCCAATTCGGTCTTTTCCATGGGACTAAAAACGCCCCAAACCATGACGCTTCCATCACCAGATTGGCTCCAAGAAAAAATCGCGTTTTCCTTGCGTATATCGTGCCAATAGTGCTTGAGGCCATAGGGTCCATCCGAGTTGAACTTCTTTTCGTCGTTAATGACGACAGTGTACCATTGTTCCGTGCCGTGAACGAGCATTTCCTGGGCCCACTGAATCCTGGCTTTCTTGTGCTTATCCGTGAGCCTTGACCTTGACATACTTGAGGTGCTTGCACATTCCGAGCAATTGGTGGGCTCGATTTTGTACTTTGATTGAATCATGGGCAGCTTAAGTGCGGTTGAATCAATGCAGAAGCCATGGAATATATACTCGAATCGATTGCATGACTTGGCATGTCCAAGCTTACAACAGAATCTTACAACACAACAATTTTGGAGTGGCTTTAAACTTATTACCAGCACTGTACATACGCCGTTTGACTCGGTGGAAGTGGCAGATTCAGTTCCTGGTTGACTCGCACGTGACAACTTCAATACAGTTGCATGTATTCCCTCGACAATGGTACACCATGATTTGAAGGAATCAAATACCTTTAATTCTTCATAGTGATATGTTTGTGTCATGTTCCCACATCTCACGTGGAATATCGAAAATTAATGAAACGAGTCAGTGATCAGCTGCATTCATTCGACTATATCTCGAGAATTCAATTTGCCACGACGCAAAAGTAGCTGTGTCGAATTCCCTGTTTTAATCATAACCCATCATTCGAATACTAGTACAGATTCGTGTCAACGTTTGGCGCTCAAACAGTCGATCAGTGATCAGCCAAATTTTAAACTTGTTTAAATTATAGTTTTTTAGGCTGCAGACGAGTGAAATTATTATTTTAAAGAGAATTATGAAGGTTACGAAGTAATTATATATTGGAGTTTCAATATTGTCGAACTATTCAGCTAATCGACTTGCAGCGAATTTACCCACCAGTCATGACCTACGTACGTTGTTCGAGGCCTGCGTGTCGCTATTGTGACTCCTACTATGTATAGTACTTGCTACCTAACACATCGCTGCTGCATCTAGCACGGCAGTTCTACAATCCACTCACAAATACACAAATAATAAGACTTCACTCAGTTGTATGTTGCAGGTGAGGCTCATATGAATTTAAATCCTTGACATGTGACTGCAAACTACCTACACGCATACATCAGGTAAGCCTTTGTTCTGGCTGTCGACCGCAAGTGTATAAAATGATACACACATCCATCGTGTCCATCTTGCAATGAGGCATCAGTTTGTAAGTCATGCCACATTCACAAACGAGAACAGTACGGTAGTCTCGCTCACAAGCTTACACAAAGATCCTTCGTTGAAATGCTGCAGAGCATCTCGCATCGTCATGGTCCTTCGTGCCCAATACTACAGTACGTACTACCTCTGTCCCATAATAATATCCGTTTTTGCAAAATCAAATTGAATGTTCATTTTTCATACTTGTATTTTAACTGCTACAAATTCAACAATTGATCTACAGTTGGCCCAAAGCAGCGAATATCGTCGTCAACATCCGTGTCGTGGTCTAAATTCATTGCATCTGATTGAGTGCAAATTTCACCCAACTCCATGCTCTCTAAAACTTCGCGTTGAAGGTTTTGCATAGGAGCAGAATAGTACACCCCATTTAAGTATTTAAGTATGCGCAACCAAAACTCCAAGAATTCCTCGCACAGAAACCATTTCTGGCAACCTGTCACGAGAATATAGTGCATACTTTTTCATATGTGGGGTCTTGCAGTCATTCCCACCCTTGTTGGGCATGATCTCCTCGAGGCATTTCTGCATGGTGAGAAAATTCTTGTTGAGCATCAGCGGACTCACATGTTCCCACGCTGCTTCGGTAGCTGCGACGATATCCTCGAGGCTGATTTAATGAGATGAAGAGACTGAATGGCGCGGGAAAAGCCCAGAACATTCAGGCCGGGCGAATTTGGAGGTTGAAAGACAACCTCCATGTCCCACCCTTCCACCTTGCAGACAGCAACAACGTCGGCGTCATTAGGAGGCGCATGCGGCCGCGCGTTGTCTTGCTGAATCTTGACGGTCTTCGACTCACCACTTGCCACTTCGTGGGGATCGCTGGGATCACGCGGTCAATCAGCATCGCCTTGTACGTTTCTCTCATCACGGCAACAGTCTTCATATCGGGTGTTCCAGTGTCACGACGACAACTGTCACGCTAAGCTGGGACCACCTCGGTGAAGTGCCACGTTTCGAGCTTGCCATCATGCCAGTCTTGCTTGGATTCGTCTCAGCGCGGACGAGCGACAGCAGACAAGAACATGACCTTCAGTAGTTGGCGCTTCGACTTGCAGGACCACTGCTTGATCTTCTCTCCCGGGGTTTATCCACGTGCACGGTGTTGTACATGGGGTCGATGAGCAGTATATAAAATGTGCACACAAAGATCAGGGAATCACAGGTAATATTTAGCGAAGTTCGTGAACCAGGGGACTTTACTGCGACAGTGGGCCATATGTGCACTTCATATGGATATGAAGGGAAATATTCCTCTGTAGAAAACGCTGCTTGAACACAGGATTGGGTTCTTTCCTTGCTTTGGTTGCACCAGTACTATTAGTAGTTCTATTAGTAGTTCTATTAATAGTACACATCAAGGTGTCGCTATTCATAGTGCACGACATGTTACAGTATTGCACCGAAAACGACAGAAGAGGGTATCTGCCAGAAACCACCCTTAATAAAATCAGTATGTGCTATCCTGACAAAAGTGGCGGAGTACACCACAGTTTTTACAACATGCCGAATTACTACAGTACATGTTAGTACTAGTACTCGAGAACAATTATCAACAGGGAGATGAGGGAAATATGGTATTCAAGTGGCTTTCTACGAATTAATCAGTTTGTGTGAAGAAATCCTTGTGCTGCACTTGGTACTTGCCATGCTGGACGAGGAATTAGTACTTGTTGTCATCACTTGTTGGTTTACGATTAGAATCATTTATCCGAAATATACGGATAAAACTAGTATCTACTATATACTGCAACATACTTCGAAGTACTAGCCAACATTCAAGAAGATTCACGAATATTCGAATCTTCGCGGAATTCAAAATTTGCGATCTTTGAGCGAGGATATCGCCGCTAATAGTAATCCATCCGCTCTGATTTAATTGAATCTTGTTAGACCGCACTCTCAGCATACCGCTATATATAAATTCTTTGAATTGTAGATGGATGTAGGCTGTTGAATCTGACATCCAAAACACGAATTCAGAGCAAAAAACGAATTCGTTGTTTTGGACTCCCTATCATTGGTTCAAATCAGCATTCGATGCGAATTGCAACATGGATCTCAGAACCCTGTGCTGTGAAGAATATGCTGGCACAATATCGTCGTTCAAATGTCTGTATTTGCGGATTTATCGTCTGTTCTACACGGACATTCGGGATCTACAAGTGGTATTCGCCAAAATTGGATTACATCTAGTAGTTCGAAATTCTCTGCAGTAAGTACTAGCACATTCTATTTTGACTTCATTGAAAAATTGTCTTGGATTTGTGTCTTAAAATGTGCATGATTGATATCGACATCGCAACTATCCGGATAAGTGAGCAAGCGGTCAAGCATTTGGTGCTGCGTTTTGATCCAGTAAAATAGCATGCGAATCTGTCGAATTACATATTTCCCTCATCTCCCAGTGCTATGTGGCTTGCTCAAATACTACACTCGCTTGCGCTTGTGCGATGTAGTCTCGTCGTCGCCATCGCAGTTGTGGATGTCGGCAAGGATTTCCTCGTGCGTGCATTCACCCAGCGCAGGGATCATCGAGCGCTTGTGGTTGTACAAGAGGATCTTTGTGCTCACTTACCAAGTCGCAAGCAATACGAAGCTCGGGGTACATGTTTCGAAGCACCTGGTTCCTTCCTACTTCTGGACTGTAGTCAAAGTGTGGCACACCTAGTGACATGTCAGACACATAACGATATATACAGTGATGGAAGAAAGGTTAAGATACACCCCAATTTAGACTTTACTCGCGTCTTTGTGCGCTGTTCGGCTCTAAAAATAGCTCTGTCGCAGGGTCAATTGACAAGATAATAGTACGAGCCGGTTGCTGTTTTGCCGCATTGCGAGGTAGAGACGGTGGCTAAGTTTTTCTAGTATGGAAGTCAGGATAGGACATTTCAGTTAACGTCCTCTAGAGGACGCAATAATGCTTATAATCACCATCGATTTGAACAACTTCCTCTAAACAGCTCTACACAACACCTCGCGTACGTCAAATGGGCCGTGGACCTCAACTCAACGAGTTTCAGCGCGGTCAAATTGTCGTGTGGAAGTCCAACGGCGAAACAGTGATATTCATGTCCAAGAGCCTTGGCGTTTCCCGCACGGCCATTTCCAACTACCTCAAGGACCCTGACAACTATGGCAAGCGTTATGGGCACGGGA